AAAAAAAAAAAAAAAAAGAAAAGAATGGTGACTAGATGATCTACTTGTCCTGTTTTAAAGAATACCATTTCTTCCCTTGTCCCAGCATGACATCAAAAGTCTCTTTCAAGCTCAAACTTACATATTTTATTCAGATCCACTTAACCACTAACATTAATCACTTTCCATGTTTGATAATTAATTTTATTCAGAAACACTTTCTAGCAACCCCAAGGGCACTGGACCCTGCTAAACAAAACATTTAGTCTTCAAGTAACACCTGGCTATCCTTAAAACTGGGATGAGTGGACAACAGCTCCACCATGACCCGATTCGTCACTCCTCAGAGGTCACTTCCAGAACCCTCCTCACATTAAAATTGAATATAAAAGTCTTACCCTTTCACCCTGACAACGGGGTCTTTGAACTCGACCACTGTTCTCTTGCAGTTTATCAATAAATTCTCAACTTTTCTATATTTCTTGACTACTGGTAAATTCTTTACCACCTGTGCAGCACCAACCTCTAACATGCCTGAACTGTAAGGCACTAGCACTAGCACTAGCACGGCAAAAACAAGTTTGCAAAGAATACATTTTATTTTGTTTGGTTTTTGGAGAAAAGGTCTCACTACGTAATCCAAGCTGGCCTCGAACTCACAATGTAGCCCAGGCTGGCCTCAAACTCGCAGTGATCCTCCTGTCTCAGCCTCCCTAGTGCTTGGATTACAGGCCTGGGACAGCATGCCTGCCTCGAAAAATACATTTGAAACCACCATTCACTGAGTGGGTCTTCTGGCAGAAAGCGGGGAGGAGGCGTAAGACCCATCTGGTCTGGTTTCCCCTAGCCCATACGGCTTCCCTTTGCCAGCGCTGAGTTCAAACAGCAAAGCGGCAGCGCCATCTTAACTACAGCCAAGAAGCACTGCCAAGGACCCTCGAGGAACAGGAACAGAAGCTGACAGTTTCCAAAAAGACCCAACTTGGGCCGGGGATTTAGCTCAGTGGTTCCGCCGCCTGCTTCGCAAGCGCAAGGTCCCGAGTTCGATCTCCGGTACCGAAAGAAAAAAAAACTGACTACAGGTTCGAGGGGACCAAACCAAGTCACTTACACCAAATTCGACACTCAAGCTGTTAAATCTCTTTCCAACATGAAAAGAAGCTAAGGTGCCCCCATCTTTTCTGAGAGCGTCTTCATTTTCCGGCCCCGGGACCACCGAGTTCGCCGGCGTTTCTCGCTGTGCTAGAGCAGCCCTAACCGAAGCTCCTTCCGCTCGCCCAGACGTGGAGAAGTCCTCCAAAGCTCCCGCCCTAGTTTCTTTAGCCGCTTCTCTCCCAGCTTCTCTCCCAGCAGGGTAACTCGTGGCTCCGTAGGTGGATGCCCTGGAAGACGGGCCAGACAAAAGAGGACAGAGGTCAAAGGCCCCGAGCGTCGTGGCTGTGCGCCCGTAGCAATGGGGAGTCTGTGGTACAGGGTGCTACGTCCCGGCGCAGTCCTGAGGTCCAGAAGAACCGGATCTCCGAAAAATAAATGGGTGGGTGGGCCAGACCCAGACCCAGCGCCTGACCCGCCTCCACAGCGGCTCCGGGCTCACTCCGCTTCCCCACTGGCCTCGGGAAAAGCCTAAAGACTTCCCCTGCCAAACTCCTCCAGTGGCTTCCCGGGTGTATCACACAATGGTCTTGAGATGTAATTTTTTTGTTTTTGTTTTTTGACGCAGGGTCTCGCAATATAGTTCAGGCTGGCTTTGAACTCACTATGTAGCCCAGGCTGGCTTCGAACTCGAAGCGATCCTCCTGCCTCAGCCTCCTGAGTGCTGAAGCGCACAATGGTCTCAATGGTGCAAGGCATGCTAACATCCCTTTGAACTAAAAAAACAATTCTTGGCAGGGGGGCAGGGATTTCACTCTGGTGCCACGGCCTGCCTTCCAAGTGCCCAATACCCCTGGTGCAAAAAAACAATTCTTTATTTCCAGATATGTGAAGCCACTTAGGCTACACTCTGACATTTAACCCGGCATCCTTCAATGCCCTCAAAGCCTACCTCCAAGAAATTCCTGGAGTTCTGCCCCATACTAGAAGCTTTATAACTGTGGCTCTGGTCTCTTTATAGCCCTAAGCATGATATGTCTAGAAGTTCTTCTGAAAACCTTTGCCAATGCCAGTGGAACGCATATCTGGTAGCTCTCCAGTTTAATGTAAAAAAAGTTCTCCACCAGGGTGGCCTTGAACTCACTATGTAGTCCAGGCTGACCTGAAACTTGCAATCCTCCTGGCTCAGTCATGTTGGGATTAGAGGCGTGTGCCACCAGGCCCGGCAGTTTGTTTGTTTGGGTTTTCTTTTTTGGTACAGGTGATCCAACTTGAGAACTTTCGCTTTCCAGGCAGGTGGCAGAACCACTGAGCTAAATCCCCGGCCCAGGACTAGCAGTTTAACGTAAATTTAGACCAGACACTTGGTTCAACAATGTCTCCAAGTTGGACATGGTGGCGCAGGTCTGTAATCCCAGCACTGAGGAGGCTGAGGCAGGAGGTTTGCTGTGAGTTCGAGGCCAGCCTGGGCTACAAACAAAACAATGTCTCCAATACCCAGAAGATCTAAATGCTTGGCACATAGAGGTGCCTGGTACATTTCCATTAAACAAATGCACAGGTGGTCAGGGTATGTTCCTTTAGTGATGTTTCTCCCAGGATTCCCAGTCCTCAAACTAGTCCTCATCTCCTCCGTACAGGTAGTCCCAGCTGTGGGGTCCAGTTGCTTAGCATCCCCAGGAAAGTTGAAATCTGAGAAAGCTAGAAAGGTGAGACATGAAGGGGGGCAATGTCCCAGTTCCAACTGAGCAAGAGATGTTCTGTTGGGCAAGAAACACCATCTGTGTTTTTTTTGCTGCCGGTGTTACTTTTTTTTGTTTTGAGACAGGGTCTATGTACTTCAGGCTGGCTTTGAACTCACTACGTAGCCCTGCATGGCCTTGAACTTACAACATTCCTCCTGCCTGTTTCCCAAGTCCTGGGATTACATCCATGCACCATCATGCCCAGCAACTTGGTGTTACTAATTTTTTTTTTTGTACCAGAGATCGAACTCAGGACCTTGAGCTTTAGGCAGGCGGTGGCACCACTGAACTAAATCCCCAGCCCCTATTTTTTTTTGGTACAGGGGATTGAACCCGGGTCCTTGCGCTTGCGCAGCAGGCGGTGAAACCACTGAGCTAAATCCCCGGCCCTCAGCCCCTATTTTTGATGACCTGAATTTATGATGGCCATTAAATCCTGGGGTTTTAACTGCTTTCTCAATTGTCTTTGAGGCATACAGTGGTAATGCTGCAACACAGCAGAGCAGCTCAGTGCTCTAGCCAAGTGTTACAGCTCAGTAGTGCAGCTCTGAGGCACAGTTGAGCTTTACAGCTCAGTGTGGCGACTCTGCATCACAGCTCTCATAATTTGAAGACTGGAAAAATCCGACAGTCAATTGAGGAGGTGGAGAAAAAACACTTTATTACATCTAGGAGCCTGGATGGGCTCATAGGAGTCTGAACACAACCAGAAATGAGAGCCTCCTTATATAGGGATCTACAGGGTAGGTGAGCATACTCACTGCAAGGGGAGGGAGCAGAGTTATAGAACATTCCTGAAGCAAAGGGGCAGAATTACAGAACATTCCTGAAACACATGCCTTGTGAGCATGCTCACCGAAGCAGGGGGAGGAGCTACAGGACATTCGTGTGGGGGGGCAGGGCTTAACAGAAACTTGACGGGGGGGCGGGGCAGGGCTCAACAGCATTCCTGAAAGGTCACACAGTTCAGTCACAAACCATTTTGATACACTGGGCAGGAGCCCAGCAGCACAATCTTACGTTTCCAAAACAAAACATTCTGTGGGGGAAAAAAATGGAGGCAAGGCAAGGGCCTGTCTTATGGTATAGCATAGGCACCACCTCTCAGTACCAGTCAGACCACACCACGTGCATCATCTGCGCTGAGTGGCAGTGTGTGTTCTAGTTCAGGATGAAGGCGGTCGGCTTTTCTGCCTCCAAGTCTGTAGGGCCTCTAGCAGGTGTGTCCTTTTTTCCCCTCGGCACTGGGGCTCGAACTCAGGGACTTGCTCTTGCCAGGCAGGTGCCGCCGCCACAGCTACAGCCTGGGCCTCGAGGAGCCTTTGTTTTGAGGCGCGGACCGCCCCTGCCTGGTGAGCCAGGGGACCCCGACTGGCTCCGGGGTTGGGATCTGGATGCTTCTGTGGCCGGCAGGTCTGACTGTCGCCCGATATGAGCAGTCTTGGGGAACGGACGGTAAACTTCGAGTCTGGTTTCCGAGCTGTCATCAAAAGAATAGTGCATTCGGAAGGGCTAGCAGTAGTCTGCTTGGGAACCATTGTGAGCCCCGGGGCTCACAGGCAAGACTGGTCTAACTCCAGCTTCGGTACCCGGGCCTTCTTCCAACCCCATCGGTGCCGCAGCTCAATACCTGCAGGCGCCCAGCATCCTGGGTCCTGTCCCAAGGACATCACAGTTCGCCAAAACCTTCAAGCCGGCCCAGTGTACTCCAGGGAGCCGCCTTGGATGCGACACCTCCGAGCTCCCAGCCAACCCCGACGCGCACCCTGCCCTCCCGCTTCCGGGAGGGAGACCTCGAGCTCCAGCCCTGCCCGGCGCCCTTCCGATCCGGGGCGCCGAGAGGTGACAGATCAGTCTCCGGCGTCCTGTCCTGTCCTCCCGCGGGAGAAGGTAAGCTTGTAGGAAGGCGAGTCCTCGTCCTCCGCGTGTGCACGTAGACAGAAAAGGTTTTCTTTTATGTATTCCACTTATCTATTGAACACTAAAAATGGCTCCTGTCACCCGATTTTTGAGATGAGGACGGAACAAGAGCGCAAGGGACTGGAGCCGGACTCTTTAACAGCCCGGAGAAGCCGTCGACCCGCTGAACCCCAAACGCTCAACGGCTAGCGCCGCCCTTCCCGCCTCAAGCCGCCTTGAGCTCCCCGAGGAGTCCCCGCCCCCTCCCGGCAGCCGTTGCGCCGCGGCGGACGTCTCAGACTGGCACGCGTAGCCGCTGCGACCATTTTGGACGAGGGCGGGAAGGCAAAGCGATAGGGCGAAGCCGGCTCGCGTCACAATGGTCACGACTGCGTGGAAGGAGAATTCGAGAGGCTGCGTTGCCGCCATTTTTTCCTAAATTCTGATTATGTACCTTTTGCCCATCTGTATCAGTCGTTATCCACTCTAGCGGGCCCTCGGAAGGCCGGTTCTGGCCTCTAGTGGCTCTGATGCCCGCTCTCTGACTCCTGGGCCCGGCCTGCGGGCGATCGTGAGCGCGGGACGCCGCGTGTGATCAGACCCGCTAGGAGAGGCGGGTGTCCTGCCGCCGGCGCTGGTGGTTGCCATGGGGCCGCCTTTGGCTCAGCTCCCTCCCTGGGCCCCGAATCAGGCAGGACCCAAGTCCGGGGAGCCCTGGGCCATAACCTTCGCGGACGTGGCCGTGTACTTCTCCCCGGAGGAGTGGGGGTGTCTGCAGCCCACGCAGAGAGCCCTGTACCGGGACGTGATGCGCGACACCTACGTCCTCCTGAGCGCCCTCGGTGAGGTCCTGCTGCCCGCCTGGCCCACACCCCGCGGCTCCTCTGGGTCCTGCACGTTGGGGGTTGTCGGTGTGTGGGACGACCTCGAATCCTGGGGTTTGGATTCTTCTCCCTTAGGAGGTGGAGGCGCCAAGCCAGCGCTGATCTCCTGGGTGGAGCGAGAGGCCGAACTGTGGGATCCAGATGCCCAGGATCCAGAGGTGCCCAAGTGGCCAACAGAAGCAGACACAGGTGAAATTACTGAGTATTCCGGTCCATGGGAACGTCTCTGTGCTTGGCACAGTGTGGTCCCCTCTCTGCTTAGCAGTTTGTTCCCTAAATTGCTTTCCTGGCTGAAGCCATTAAGTCTGGCTTCTGGCTTAGGTCTACAAAGAGGATATACTTGTGACTCAGGCCCTGCTGGGTCAGCCTGCACCTGCGCTCTTCTGACCTCCTCACCCCTCATTCGTCATTAAGCTCTGTCGACTGTGCTCCAACATCGCTGGCTCCTCTGCCACCTCCTGTGTTGTAGCGTACTTTCTTCTGCCTTCTGTTCTTTTCTTCCTTCAGTTCATCCTGTCAGCCTTTGCAAAATGCCCAGCCTCACTGGATTTGCCAGTGCCACTTGGGATCACACCTGGAACATCTGTAGGTGTCCACTCACTCTTCATGATGCAGCTCAGATGTCGTCATCTCTCACTGTCCTGTGTGCCATTTCTGCATCCCCGAGCCCTAATACACTGCTCCTTCCCCCCTTTCTGTCTCTACAGCTGACAAAAGGCGTCACTGCAAGCTCCCTGCTTGTGCTGCACTAAGTTCTAGGGGCACCCATGGGTCTAGAGGTGGCTGTGTCTGAGAGGCCTGCGTGTCACCATGCCAGAGTTTGGGATTCAAGGACCAGGATGAACTAGTCTGAGCTCTTCCCTTGTCTCCCAGCAGATTGTAGAAACAAAGAAGAGAAAAAAGAAAAGGAAGTGCCTGAAGCACTGGAGAAGACACTTTCTCCAGACTCTCGGCCTCCTGGACTGAAGGGTCCCCAAGCCTCCTTTGTTGGGCTCCCGTATGTCTTGGAGCTGCCCTCCAAAGCACATCACCGGGGCCGCCCGCCTCTCCGAGCCCACCCTTCTGTCCCACGAGCAGACCAGCGTCATGGGTGCTACGTGTGTGGAAAGAGCTTTGCCTGGCGCTCCACGCTGGTGGAGCATCTCTACACTCATACGGGCGAGAAGCCTTTCCAGTGCCCTGACTGCGGCAAGGGCTTTGGCCGAGCTTCTTCCCTGAGCAAGCACCGCGCCATCCACCGAGGGGAACGGCCCCACTGCTGCCCTAACTGTGGTCGGGCCTTCACACAGCGCTCGGCTCTCACCACCCACCTTCGGGTCCACACTGGCGAGAAGCCCTACTGCTGTGCTGACTGCGGCCGCTGCTTCAGCCAGAGCTCTGCCCTCTACCAGCACCAGCGTGTGCACAGCGGCAAGACCCCCTTCCCCTGCACTGACTGTGGCCGTGCCTTCGCCCACGCCTCCGACCTGCGGCGACACGTCCGGACCCACACGGGCGAGAAGCCCTACCCCTGTCCAGACTGTGGGCGCTGTTTCCGGCAGAGCTCAGAAATGGTCGCCCACAGGCGAACCCACAGTGGCGAGCGCCCCTACCCCTGTCCTCAGTGTGGGAGGTGCTTCGGCCAGAAGTCAGCCATGGCCAAACACCAGTGGGTCCATCGGCCGAGAGTCGGGGGCCGCAGGGGTGGGGGGGGCAGTGGGTTGCCTATGCCCCTGGCCCCTGGCCCACGGGACCTGGACCCACCTGTGGGCTTTCAGCACTACCCAGAGATTTTCCAGGAGTGTGGGTGACAACCTCAAAAATGACAAGGCAAGGGTGAAGATCTAGACACTGCCTGAGGCCCCAGATGGGCTTGGGGCAGCCTCTGTGGCAGCCTTGAGGAAGGTTGCAGAGTCTAGCGAGAGCTGGATGGGGGACTGGGGAGTCTCATGGGCCCTCACCAGCTCCATCTGCGATGCTTTGCTCCCTACTGCCCTGGACCAGACTGTAGAAGAGCTCCCTACTATGGGGAGGGCCGAGGTGGGAACCCCATTGGACCTTGAGGAGGACTTTGTTGACTCTGTGTTTTTTGTGTGTGTGTGCTGGGGATCAAACCCAGGGCTTAGGTTTGCTAAGAAAGTGTTACCACTGAGCCACATCCCCAGCCCCCCTTCACCCCTCCCTTTTTGGAGGTACTAGAGAGTGAACTCGGGTTCTTCACCCTGATCTACATTCCCGGCCTATTTATTTATTTATTTATTTATTTTTGAGACAGGGTCTCACTATTTAGCTAAGTTGCCCAGGCTGGACTTGAACTTGTGAGCCTTCTGCCTCAGCTTCTCAGAGTGCTGGAATTTCAAGCATGTGCCACCAGGTCTAGCCACCCAGCCCTTCTAAAATTTATTTTGAGAGCCAGGTATGGTGGCAGGCATTTGTAATCCCAGCAATTGGGAGGCTGAGGCATAAGGATTGCCATGAATTCAAGGTCAGCCTGGAATACATAGTAAGACCTTGCCTCCAAAAAAAAGTGTATGTATATATATACATATATATAAATTTTATTTTGAGAAGAGGTCTTACCATGTTGCTCAGGGATTATAGGCCTGTGCCATGTGCCTGGTTTTGACCCATTGTCTCTTTAGTACAGAAGTTAAAACTGGTGGCCCAGTCCTGAATTGGCCCTGCAGGTATTTTATTTACTTTGATGCAAGCAGTATTTTCAAATGTTATAAATTAGTGGTCAAGAAGTAAAAATCAGAACCTAAATCTGGTGATGCCTACTTGTAATGCTAACATTTGGGAGGCTGACGCAGGACAATCACAAGTTTGAGGCCGGTCTGGACTACATAGTTCAAGGCCAGCCTGTCTAAAAAATCAAACAAACAGGGCTGAGGATTTAGCTCAGTGGTGCCCCCGCTTGCCTCGCAAGCGTAAGGTCCCAAGTTCCGTCCCTGGTACCAAAAATCAAACATTTAACATCCAGGTACTGATCACAAAAATCTAGGTTATTGCCTTCTCTTGAAAAACTGAGAGGCTTGGCAACTTGACATAAATTCTCACAAAACCATAATATGGGGGAGCTGAGCAGCAGTTGAATTCGAAAACCATGGTCTGTAGTACGTTCATTTCCTGCATCAGAGGGGTTGTGTGTTAAGGATGGCAGGAGGGAAGTAAAGGGAGGCGTTATATCAAATCTCACTTGTTTTGGCCTTGTGGTTTATGAAGTACTTGTCTCTTCTGTCATCTGATTTTGCTCTTGTAACTGCCTGGGAAGAAAGCAGCTTGCTTGGAGAGAGACCTCCAGGCAGGAAGAGGCTGTCGGGCATGTCTTCACCCCAAAGCGTGCGTTATGTGTGCTCAGCCGATGGGCACCTCATGGTTTTGGAGGGGAGGCCCAGGAGCCTGCCCTGTCTGCAGGCCTGGCCATGCTAGACCCAGCCTGGGCCTCCTCATGGGCCTGGACTGGATGGGAGTTTAGCTTTTTCAGTTGGGGACACTGACCAGGTGACCAGGTTGGGGACACTGAGCAACCTGCCCAAAGCCACACAGTTCAACTGCAGAATTCCTAGTCTACTGCTGCCTTTATTGCTTTGTGGAATTGGAAATTGAACCCAGGGCTTTGAAGCACATGCTAGGCAACTACTTTACCACTGAGCTACAGCCTCAGCAGTGTTTGGTTTTGTTTTGTTTTTGTAGGACTGGGGATTGAACCCAGGACCTTTATACTGAGCTACATCACCAGCCCTTTTAAAAATTTTATTTTTAATCACTTCTTGGGCTTTTGGCTAAGATGAAGTGCAAAATTTACAGTAAGACCCTAACTTACAGACACTCAAGTTATGAACTTTCGTAGGTGCACTGTAAAAGACTCACTTTGTCAGTTTACAAACAAATCGGGGACTTACTGTGTTTTGAGACGGTTCAAGGTTTCAATAAATTGTCCAGGCTAGCCTTGAACTTGGTAATCTGCTTTAGCCTCCTGTGTACCTGGGATTACATATCCTGGGATCTGTAACTGGGGATCGAACTTGGGACCTTGCGCTTTCCGAGGCAGGCAGCAGAACCACTGAGCTAAATCCCTGGCCCTCCTGTTTGTTTTTGAGACAGGATCTCACTATGTAGTTCAGGCTGGCCTTGAACTTGCTGTGTAGCCCAAGCTGGCCTAGAAGCAACCATCCTGCCTCAGCCTCCCAAGTGCTGGGCTTATAGGCATATACCACCACCACCTCACCACCACTCCTGTACTGGAGATCGAACTCAGGACCTTGCGCTTATGAGGCAGGTGCTGTGTCACTGAGCTAAATCCCTGGCCCTCCAGCTTCTCTTTTTTTAAGAGTTGGGTCCTCACTGCATTGTCCAGGCTGCCCCCAAACTTCTGGCTCAAGCAGTTCTGCCTCAACCTCCAGAGGACCTGGAAATGCAGGCCCATGCCACTGTGACTGCCACTGTTTTCACGGCACTCTTGAGGTCCTTGGCAGCCTCCTAGCCAGGTCTCTGTGCCCGCAAGCTGTGATAGCACCAGGCCTGGATCTGGACGGGGGCCGTGCCTGGGGACCTTGGGGTCCTGACAGGAGGCCACAGGAAAGGTGGCGGGGACCAGCCTGGGACGAGGCCAGCGAGACAAAAGCAAACCTTGCATCTACACTTCGCTGTGGCGCCCACCATTGTGAACAAAGCGGGCCAGGCAGGAACTTCTGAGGTAGATGTGTAGCCAGAGGGGACCTTAGGATCTGTGTCCCCAGATTCTGCACAGAACCCTGCCCATTACTCATGACTCCATTATCTACCACCAGTTCCCTTGTCAGGGGCCGGCCCTGTGCAGGTGGCAGAAGCAGCCAGCTATGGGCAGACCCTGTTCCCTGAGGTTGGAACAGCACATCCAGGAGTACGGCACATGTGTTCTCTGCTGGCCTCTACGAACTTGCCTGTATACCCATGTCAGCCCTGGGTCTGGCCTGTTAAAGAGGAAGAAGCCAAGTATGCTGGTGCACAGCTGTAATCCCAGCACTCTGGGAGGCTGAGGCCAAAGGGTCACAAGTTTGAACCTAGTCTGGGCAATTTACTGACTTGAAGAGATGCTGTGGGTTTTTTTGTTTGTTTTTGAAATGCTGTGGTTTTGTTGTTGAGGTTTTTGTTTATTTTTTGTTGTTTTGACAGGGTCTCACTATATAGCAGGCTGTCTTTGAACTCACTATGTAGTCCAGGCTGGCCTTGAACTCACAGTGATCCTTCTGCCTCAGCCTCCCAAGGGCTGGGATTACAGGTGTGCACCACCATGCCCGGCTCGAGATGCTGTATTAGAATTAAAAATAAGGGCCGGGGATTTAGCTCAGTGGTTCTGCCGCCTGCCTCTCAACCCAAGGACCCAAGTTTGATCCCCAGTACCAAAATAAATAAATAAATAAATAAAAATAAAAATAAAAAATAAGCACTGAGGATGTAGCTCAGTGCAAAGGCCCCGGGGTTCAATCCCCAGTAACACCACCACCACCACAAAAAAAAGGAAAAAAAAAAGGAAAAAACCAGATGTTAACCTGGAGAAAGACCACAAAAGAGGTCCAAAGTTTGGAGAAAAGACACTTCAGGAAGGGCCAGGGATTTAGCTCAGTAGTTCTGGCGCCTTCCTCGCAAGTGCAAGGTCCTGAGTTCGATCCCCGGTACCAAAAGAAAAAACAACACACAGACACTTCAGGTAAAGTAGCAAATTTACATTCAACTAACTTTCAAATCCGATCCCACCTCCCTAAACCTAATTTTTTCTAGGGAGGAGTAGTTTATGCCGCCTTATCTCAGGGCACTGGGTGGAAAGCGGAGCCCAGGCAGCTACCTCTGTAACGGGTTTTAGTTCAGCACGCAGCCCCTGCCTCCTGCTCAGCGCCGCGGGGGAAGCCCTTTGAAGCTCCAGTTCGGCCTCAGAAGAAACCAGATCCGGCCCCGCCCCCGGCCTGCGGATTAAAGGCGCTGTAATTGCTGTTTAAGGATCTCTGAGGCTTTGAAGTTTGGAAGGCTTGCTCCGGGCTCTGAAACCAGGCTCAACCCCTTTGCTTCCTGCTCTCACCGCCCAACTTTCTATTAGTCCTTTAGGGGGATGAGATTTAAACTTCAGCTCCAGTCCACTCAGCTGGTCATTTCCTGGCGTGAACACTCCAGCGAAAGGCGCACTCCCTTTCCTGCTACCACGAGTCTCTGAAGCTCAGCCCCAGAAGTAAAGTAATTTAAACCAGGAAGTGTTTTCCTACAGTTCATTGGTGCATTGGGAGAGATGCTTATCTGAACTACACGAAATAATGGCATCTAGCCAGGTGCACACACCTATAATCCCGCCACTTGGGAGGCTGAGTCAGGAGGATCACCAGGAGTTTTGAGGCCAGCCTGAACTACATAGTGAGAGCCTGTTTAAAAAAGAAAAAGGAAAAAGAAATCCCATCTGAATAGGCAGCCAAAGAGAGAAAGAAAGTCCTTGACCACATTCCCCATCCCTAGTTTGACCAGACCACTTAAGAGTAGGTGTTAGCCAGGAGTGAGAGGATTGGAAACTCGAGCCCAGCCTGGGCAATTTAAGGGACTTGGCAGGACCTTGTCCAAAAATAAAAAGCTGGTTGGAGATGCAGCTTGGTTTTACTGTCCTGAGTTCACTCCACAGTAACACACACACACAGAGTAGGGGTTAATTCGTGCTCCAAAGACCCCCAAAACTGCTTGAAATAATTGTAATATCTTTTTAGAAAAATGATGCACAAAAATGTTTATGATCCAAAGAAGCGAAACTTTGCTAGGGCACTGCAGTTGTCCTTAGCATCTGGGGGACCGAATCCAGGATCCCTGTGGATTTCAAATCCAAGAAACAGGAGTCTCACGTGAAGCGGCGTGGTATTTGTGTGTGATTTACATACAGACTACCATGTCCTTAAAGAATCTTTAGATTACTTAAAATACCTAGTATAGTGCTCATGCTATGTAGTTTTTACACTGTATTATTTGGCCAATGATGACAAAAGAAGTCTGTACATGTTCAAAAGAGATGCAATTTTTAAACCTTTTTTTTTTTTGGTAGCAGGGATCAAACTCAGGACCTTGTGCTTACAAGGCAGGCAAAGTGCCACTGAGCTAAATCTCGGGCCCTAAAACATTTTTTTTTTTTTTTTTTGCACCGAGGATTGAACTCGGGACCTTGTGCTTGCAAGGCAGGTGGTGGAACCACTGAGCTAAATCCCCAGCTCCTAAAACATTTTTGATTATGGTTGGTTGGATCAGTGGAAGCAGAACCCACAGATACACAAAACTAACTTTCTTTTTTTTGCCAAACCGAGGCTTGAACTCAGGGCCTTCACCCTGAGCTATGTCTCCAGCCCTTTTCATTCTAGAGACAAGGCTCATTAAATTGCTAAGTTAAACTTGTGATACTCCTGTCCTGGCCACTGATGGTATTTTCTAGTAAGTCCTCCTCGCTGTATCTTACTGCCACCAAGCTGCATTTTATTACTTGGGATTTTTTTTTAAATTACAACTTGCCTCCCAGGCTCTACCCCTGGCCTCTTGAATCAGCATTTCCAGGGGTCCAATGGTGTGCTTGCTAAAAAGTTTGAGAGAACCTCTGCTCTGAACAAAATGTTCTTTTCTAGCTGATTTTAGTTTTGCAAGAGTAGTGATTTGTCCCAGAACCTGTCCCAAATGTTTCAGAGCAGGGGAGGACCTACCCATGAACGAAGACCTCCCTTTCTTTGTTCTTCCCAGAGGGCCTGTGCCTTGGCTGGTTGCTTGTCCTGGAAAGCCCAGCTCATGCGACCGTCTCACATGTCCTCTGCATGCAGCTCCCCATGCAGAGCTCTCTTGCACACAGAGAACCCCTCTAGTGTGGGCCCTGCCTTTACCCAAGTTGATGGTGCCCTACATGGGCCTCAGCTACACACGCAGCAACTCTGCCCCCAGGCTCCTGCACACCAAGGGATGATGCTGGGTACAGGGCCCCTCACTCAGGACACGACAAGCTCCTCCTCCCGTGGACACAGTGGTGGGACACAGCCAGTGGACCCAGGCCTTTCCTGGCTTAGAGTACTTGGTGTTAGGTCTGTTATGGGCCTGAGTGTAGGGGTGCTAGCTGAAAGCCACTCTCCCTCTGGGCACAGGGAGGCTGAATTTCCATGCAGAAATGCTGGCGCCAGAGAGCTGAAGTCCTGGCCCAACTTCTGCCGTGCTTTGACTTGTGGTTCCTTCGAGGGAAGGCTGTAAGCAGCGGCCCATGCTCGAGTTTAGCTGAAGGATCCCTCACGCATGCTGTAGGGTATGGCTGTTCTCCTATGTGAATTTCTCTGGGTGGCTAAGCAAGTTTGGGGCGAGAGAAAGTGTCTTGTCAAGGAAACTTGTTTGTGTGAGTTTGCAGACGACCAGAAGGTGCTCCGTGGCCAGCTTTTCCAACAATCGATGCACTTTGTAGGGCGTTCTCTTGGGCCCCTGTCCCATCTCTAGGGATTGGCCGTGACAGCATTCTTACCAAAGGTTTTAGGACACAAGATACTGTGTAGAGGGGCATAGAGCTGAAAAGCTGTTCCTCTGGAGGGCAGAAAGGTGCCCCTACTTCATTTATGGAAAGGTCTCTGTGAGTCCTTTTTATTTATTTATTTTTGTTTTTTGGAGACAGGGTCTCACTACAGTTCAGGCTGGCCTTGAACTCACATGTGCACCACACCCAGCTGTGATTCCATTTTTTTTTTTTTTTTGGTACCGGAGATCGAACTCGGGTCCTTGCGCTTGCGAGGCAGGCGGCGGAACCACTGAGCTAAATCCCTGGCCCTGTGATTCCATTTTTGAAAGCCTCTATTGTGATCATTTTTTGCCAGCCTTTTACAACTTGACTTTCTCCAATCCTGCGTTCAGAGATGCACCCAGGGCTGTGTTCTCAGGGCCTCTTCCTCCGTGATCCTCCATCCAGGGCAGAGAGGAGTGGAGAGTTCTTAAATGCCGAGAGGCCAGATGGTCCACTCTGTCCAACCCTGCGCTCCGCGAACTCTTGTGTCACCCTTACCCGCAAGCAGTCTTGCTTCCCTGTGAGGAACTCAAGGAACCTGGGATTTAGGTTACCAGGGATTGAATTCCTTTGGCGAAGGTGGAGGAGAGGCCTGCTAACAGAAAACAAAGCGGCCTCCTCTGCGGGGGGGATCTCTGCTCTGGCCCCTGTAGGGAGAAGCAAAGTGCGGAGGAAGGAGTAAATGGGGTGGGAGGGCAAGGAATGGTGTCTATCTTCAGATCTCTTGGCTTTTATTCTTCAGGAAGATAAAATATAATGGAGGGCAAATGAGGAGTGGGAAAAGTTTTTAAAGCACAGGCCGAGCTGAAAAGCCGCCTGGCATCTCCCTCCCACTCAGTCCCGCGGGCACTTCTGGCGGCCTGAGCGCCTTCAACCAATCGGCGAGGCGCCTCGCATTAGCCCCAAGCCTAACTCTAGGTGGTGGGAGGAGTCAGGAGGCGGGGTGGGGAGAGCACCAGCCCCTCAGCCAATCGTTGAGCTCATTGGGATTGACGGGCGTTGCGTCTGGAAGCTGGAGGCGGGGCTGTCTCCGTGGCAACGATCCTAACCCTAGGGGTGGGGCGAGGAGGAGCAGAGAGGGGCGGGGGCCGGGGAGCGGGGATGAGCCCGCCCGTGTTGGGAACCGGAGGTCGACGAGAGGGTCCTTGGGTCGAGAGCCTCGATGCGGCCAAAAGGGAGTCCGTCTAGGTTCCCGAGGCGCGGCCGGGCCGACCTAGGAGGAAGGGGAGCGAGACACCGCCTCCGCTGGCGCCTGGAAGCGTCGCTCCTTCTCGCTGACCTTGGTCTCGCTTGTCGCCTCGCCCTTTCCACGCGCACTGACGGAGACAGGGCCCGGGAGGTCGACAGGCAGACCCCTGCTCACAGGGGGACCCAGGACGCGAGGACACAAGCTGTCCCAGCCCGTCCCGCCGGCTCCAGGGCGCCGGGTCCCCCCTCTCCCCAACCCCGGGGCCATCCCGCCCAGGGTTAATGCCAACGAGTTTCCACCTCCATGTGCTCCTAGAGAGGCCGCGGCGCTAGCCAGCGGGGGAACTGGCCGCGGACGGACACTTCCTGTGCTGGGGGAGGGGGTCGGAGCCGCAGCCTAATCGGGGCTGGGGGCCGGACGGCGGGGTCGCGGGCGGGGAGCGGCGGCCGGGGCTGCAGGGCGAGTAGTGAGGCCCCTCGTCTCCGAGGTCTACGCGTGGGGTCCGCGAGGGCCCGGGGACGAGGCCGGACCTTGGGAGGGGGCGGGGCCGCGGGAGGGGAGGGGCCCGGCGGGCGGGAGAGGCCCAGGGTCAAGGCGTCTGGTCTCCGGCCCGGCCCGGGGCTGGGCAGCCGGATCCCCTGGGCGGTGCTGAGAGGGCGAGTGCGAGGCCTCGGGGCTGAGGGCACTCAGGTCGGGTCGCAGGATCGGCCGCCGCATTGGGGATGGAGCGAGAAGCGTCGCCGCGGGGCCTCGAGCCCCAGGATGTGCGAAGTCCTGATGAAATAGGGAGCCCCGGAGAGTCCCTCAAAGGTGAGGGAGGGATTGCTCCTCGGAGGAGTGTACCTGGGAGCGGGAGAAGGGGCTGTGCCCTGCAGGAGGGAAAGGGCGCTGTGGACGCCTGGGACTTGGGGGTGGGGTGGGGACGAGGTGTCCTGGGTTGGCCGAGAGGGGTTGAGAATTTCAGCACCTGCTAAAGGGCCAGCGACCCTGCTTGGGGAGTGGGGAGAGGTTTGTGGCAACTAGTGGACCAAATGACCTTCCAGGCCTCCACACAATCTAGATTTTCTGTAATTCTCTGATCCTGCAGGCAACACGAGTGAGAATGAGGAAGAGGAAATTTCTCAGCAAGAAGGCAATGGAGACTATGAAGTTGAAGAGATACCTTTTGGGCTTGACCCCCAAAGCCCTGGGTTCGAGCCACAAAGCCCAGAGTTTGAATCCCAAAGCCCCAGGTTTGAGCCTGAAAGCCCAGGGTTTGAGTCCCGAAGCCCTGGATTTGTGCCCCCAAGCCCTGAATTTGCACCCAGAAGCCCTGAGTCAGATCCTCAGAGCCCTGACTTTGGACCCCAGAGCCCTAGGTATGAACCCCAAAGCCCTGGCTATGACCCCAGGAGCCCTGGGTATGAACCCAAGAGCCCTGGCTATGACCCCAAGAGCCCAGAGTATGTGTCCCGGAGCCCTGATTTTGAGTCTCAGAGCTCCAGGTATGAATCCCAGGACCTGGGGTATGAACCCCCAAACCCTGGAATTGAAGCTCAGAATCCTGAGTTCAAAACTCAAAGCCCCGAATTTGAATCTCAGAGTTCCAAATTCCAGGAAGGTGCTGAGATGCTTCTGAACCCTGAGGAAAAGAATCCCTTGAGCATCCCCCTAGGAGTTCACCCCCTGGACTCCTTCACTCAGGGTTTTGGGGAGCAGGCCACAGGGGCCCTGCCCCTGGGGCCACCCTTTGAGATGCCTACAGGGGCCCTACTGTCGTCACCCCAGTTTGAGATGCTCCAGAATCCCCTGGGCTTGACAGGGACCCTCCGGGGTGCAGGCCGGCGGGGTGGCAGGGCCAGGGGTGGCCAGGGCCCCCGGCCTAACATCTGCGGCATCTGCGGGAAGAGCTTCGGCCGTGGCTCCACCCTGATCCAGCACCAGCGCATCCACACGGGCGAGAAGCCCTACAAGTGTGAGGCCTGCGGCAAGGCCTTCTCCCAGAGCTCCGACCTCATTAAGCACCAGCGCACGCACACTGGCGAGCGGCCCTACAAGTGCCCGCGCTGCGGCAAGGCCTTCGCCGACAGCTCCTACCTGCTTCGCCACCAGCGCACCCACTCTGGCCAGAAGCCCTACAAGTGCCCGCACTGCGGCAAGGCCTTCGGCGACAGCTCCTACCTCCTTCGGCACCAGCGCACCCACAGCCACGAGCGGCCCTACAGCTGCCCCGAGTGCGGCAAGTGCTACAGCCAGAACTCGTCCCTGCGCAGCCACCAGAGGGTGCACACGGGGCAGAGGCCCTTCAGCTGCGGCATCTGCGGCAAGAGCTTCTCGCAGCGCTCCGCACTCATCCCCCACGCGCGCAGCCACGCCCGGGAGAAGCCCTTCAAGTGCCCGGAGTGCGGCAAGCGCTTCGGCCAGAGCTCCGTGCTGGCCATCCACGCTCGCACGCACCTGCCGGGCCGCACCTACAGCTGCCCCGACTGCGGCAAGACCTTCAACCGCTCGTCCACGCTGATCCAGCACCAGCGCTCGCACACGGGCGAGCGGCCCTACAGGTGCGCCGTGTGCGGCAAGGGCTTCTGCCGCTCCTCCACGCTGCTGCAGCACCACCGCGTGCACAGTGGCGAGCGGCCCTACAAGTGCGATGACTGCGGCAAGGCCTTCTCCCAGAGCTCCGACCTCATCCGCCACCAGCGCACCCACGCCGCCGGCCGCCGCTGACCGCCGCTGACCGGGCCGGGGCTGCAGAGGCCACGGAGAGGACGGCGAAGAGCCGAGGGGCGGGTGGTGGGCGTTCGAGAAGGGCCGGGTGCAGGCAGTCACGCCCGGAGACTCGTGGGAAATGGGCTGTGGAGAGGGTTGGAGGGCGGCCAGGCCGGCGGCGGCAGCCTGGGAGAGCCCGAGGTCAGCAGGGAGCTGGCGCCGCAGGCCTGGGTGGCTCCCGGCCTGGCGAGTGCTGGATGGGGCGGGGGAGGGCAGGGAGGGCCAAGCAGCGGGTAGCTTAGCTGGGCAGGTGCCAGCCCCTGGCTGTCAGGAGGGAGAGGGTAGTAGAGTGAGGGTGGAGCTCCTGAATCTGATTCAATAAAAATCTTCATGTGGTAAGAGACTTGTCCTTAAACTGTGTGTGGATAGTGCCCGTGGCAGTGGGGGACGCCCGTCATAACCGTGAACAGCCAGTGAAGTCTCCGGGCCTTCCCGGTCAGTCCCCCAGGGATGACCCAGGGTCTTTGCACTGGGCTACGTCCCCAGCCCTTTTGATTTTTTATTTTGAGACAGGGTCTTGCTAAGTTGCCAAATTGCCCAGGCTGGGCTCAGAACTTGAAGTCCTCCTGCCTCAGCCTCCCAGAGTGCTGGGATTACAGGCATGTGCTGTCACTCCCAGCTAGGAAGTGCTTTTATGTGGTTTGTTTTGAATCTTGTCACCTGAAGTTCAGCTGACGTGATTTGCCCATATCTGCCCACCTCCACGTCCCATGCTTTTCATGCTGCACAGACTGAGGGGCCCCGACAGGCAGTTGTGAGAAAGGCCTCAAATTCGTGGAGTTCCTTCTTCCTAATCATAGAGGGTCTGCCCTTGGGCCAGAAAACAGAACTTGATTCTCACCTCTCCTTTGCTCCCAGCACCGCACACTGAACTGCCAGCCACCTCTCTGCAGACCCTTTCTCCACACTCACAGAGGGCAGGAGTGGCAGCCCAGCCCGCACAGCGAGGGGTGTTTCTCCTGTGTGCTGAGGACAGAGCGGCCCTGTGTGACCAAGGCAAATGCGGTAGCCCTGAACTGCACCCAGCCTTGGCAGGTGGGATCCACCTCGTGTGGGGTCGATGCATCCAGCCCCTCCGACCTCCCACCATTCTAGGCCCTGATCTGCCACAGCTCTGCTTCCTCTTTAGGGTCCCTGTATAGACTGGGGAGGACACCAAGTCCCTGCCTCACCATGAGGCTGAGCCCCAGCTTCTTAACACTTGGCCCCTCAGGAATGGATGGGGAGTTACTGCCATCAGTGGGTGTGAGGGTATGTGGAAGTATGGCACATAACCCGTCTTAAGAGAATTACTAATTGCTGGGCACTTTCTTTTCTTTTTTTTTTTTTTTGGTACCGGGGATCGAACTCAGGTCCTTGCGCTTGCGCAGCAGGCAGCGAACCCATTGAGCTAAATCCCTGGCCCCTCTTCTTTCTTTTTTTTAAATACAGTCTCATTGTGTAGTTCAGGCTGGCCTTGAACTCACTATGTAGACCAGGCTGGCCGTGAACTCATGGCCATCCTCCTGCCTCAGCCTCCTGAGTGCTGGAATTACAGGCCCGTGCCACTGTGCCTGGCTAGGGCACATTTTGAGATAGTGCCTACCAAGGACCTGGTGGTGCCCTCTTTAGTTTACTCATTCTGTTTCACAGATAAGGAAGGTGGATGGTGTGGTGGCACACACTTGTAATCCCAGCCACTTGGGGGCTGAGGCTGGTGGATGACAAGTTTGAGGCCAGCCTGGGCAACTTAGTGAGACTATTTCAAAATTTAAAAACTTAGGGCCAGGGATTTAGCTCAGTGGTTTCACCACCTGCTGCACAAGCACAAGGACCCGAGTTCAATCCCCGGTACCAAAACAACAGCAACAATAAAAAAAGAATTTAAAAACTTAAGAAGGGTTGGGGATTGGGCCAGGGATTTAGCTCAGTGGTTCCGGCGCCTGCCTTGCAAGCACAAGGTCCCAAGTTCGATCCCTGGTACCAAAAAAAAAAAAAAAAAAAAGGGTTGGGGATATAGCTCAGTAATAAAGCAAGTGCCCTAACAAGTGTGAGGCCCCAGGTTCAATCCCCAGTGTGAGAAAACACATAAACCTGTCTACTATTTTCCCACTGGAACAAAAGGACAAAGGTTCCAGAGATCAGGGACTTGTCTTTCTCATCATTTTATCTTCAGAGCCCAAAACGGGCCATGACACAAAGCACTCAAAAATAACTAAATGAGCAGAACCTAACTTACATTCCACGACACCTAAGTAAAGGCCAGTCCATGTGCTGTTACTAGTTCTGGGACATCCCAGAGTGGGGAGGTGGCCGCGCTTCTTCCTTCACAATGGCTTGTGAGCCGTCCCATGGCTCTGTGGGGCCGGCCTGGCCATGGCTGATGAGCCCGGAGAGGCTGCAGGCTCCAAAGGACTTGGTCGTGCTCGCCAGCCTCTGAAGGTTGTGCACTTCTTGCCCTCTGGAAGGGGCTGTCAGTCACTGCCTGGGGCCCACTTCCTGCCTGTTGTGGGTGCAGTGCTCTCCCTCCCAGAGCTGGACCAGGAACTGGCCTTGGTCTCTCGGTACCCCTGGGGGCCCCACTGAACTGACCACACAGGGCAGCAGTGGCAGGCACTGCCCTTCCTTCCACAGAAGAGGCCTGAGGGCCATGCCCTTTTCCATCCTAGCTTTGAAGAAAAGGTAAGGAGGGTCCATGCACCTTCTTTTCTTTCTTTTTGTTATACACTTTTTTTTTCAGTGTACAGCCCTTTGTATTCCATCTTAAGGAACTGTCAAATCATCCTTTCTCTCTCTCTTTTTTGTTTTGGACCAGGGATTGAACTTGGGACCTTGTGCTTTTGAGGCTTCACTTTGTTTGTTTTGATACCAGGGATCAAACTCAGGACCTTGTCTGCTTCACTTTTGAATTAACCCACAATGTTGGGTGCAGGTCAGTATCTAGGGATTACCATAAAAAATAAAAGGAAAAAAAAGGAAGAAGCAGAGCTAACTACTATTTGGGCCCCACTTATTTGGGGTTGAAAGGGAAATGTTCATTTAAGTGAGCCAGGCTGGAATGTTGCACCAGCACAAAAACATCACAAAATGGGACCGGATTTTGTGTTTACTGGATAAATATGTGCAGCACTATGCTTGGTCCTGGGGATCAAGGTGGGCAGACTGATTTCCACCCCAAACTCGGTCTCTGAGGGCTGCGGAGTAGGTGGGGAGGAGGCTGGGGTAGGGCACTGTCCACACCTGCGTGTCTTCCCAAGGACTCTGCCATCCACTCAGGGAAACTGCCCAGCACCTGCTGGACACCTGGCCCCATGCTTCCATAGGGTTGCATTCCCTGTCCTTAGGGAGTTCAGTGTGAGAGGGAGAAATTAAATAAATCATTAAACACCCTACAAATACAACCTGGGAAACAAAGGCCAGTGCAAGCTTCAAGTAAAGAGCACGCTGGAACCCAGCTGAGCTGTGGGCAGCCCTGGCCTGATGATGAGACGCTGTCTGAAGGCTGAGTAAGCGGCCAGGGAGGGACAGGGGCAGAGTGCTGGAGGCAGCGGACAGGACAGCAAGGGGCAGCAGCTGAGCGCTGGGGTTGGGGGTCTATAGGAGGGCGGGGGCTCGGTCTGGGGCCTTGGAGGACTCACTGAGAAGTTTGGGCTCAGGCTGAAGAGCCGGGCTTTCGAAGCCAGAGCCGTTATGCAATGGGACTTCTCCCCACAGGGGAACGCAGGCCTGGCCCCAGGCGGGGAGTCAGGGGAGCGTCAGGCTTGAGGGAGCTGCAGTGTCACCAGGTCCTGACACTGCGCCTCCAAATTTAGACCCCAGGTTCTTGGGGGGCGGACACAAGGTAGGCTGGGGGGAGCCAGCGCCACCTGGCGGCGACTCGGGGCCTCACCTCTGTACCCTTGCTGCCGCAACTGAGGGAGGGGAGCAGTGACTTGCCCAAGGACACGCGCTAACGTGTGCGCGCGCGGAGGCCGCCTGGCTTCACACCCCAAAGTCCGGCCTCAGTCTTTGCTGCCTCCGTCCTGGGCCGCCTCCCTATGGAGGGGCTCCAGACAGCCTGGATCCCAGGCCTCCTCCCCGGGTGCTGCCAGAGCCCCAGCGTCTTCCCTGGGGACTCCGCCGTCAGCCTCCATCTTCTCCTTCAGGCTCCGCTTGAAGAACCCAACCTGCAGTGAGACAAACACACAGCCCTGAGACCAGCAGCCCATCGACGTGTGAAGACACTCAGTGTCGCACGGGCCACAGCCATAGGCATCTGCCCCAGGTGGCCGAGGGCACTGGCACGCTCGGCTCTCGGAATGAAAGAAATCTTGGAAATATTTTTTAAAAGCGTCACATTTAGTAGCTCATTCTTTAGGCTCATCAGAATGTTATATACTGAGCCAGGCATAGTGACACACATCTGTAATCCTAGCACTCTGGGAGGCTGAGGCAGGAGGACTTCCAGTCTGAGCCCGGGAAACTTAAGTCACTTAGGGAGATGGTGTCTCAAAATTAAATATTGATTGATTGATTGATTGATATAGTGTCTATGTCATTCAGGCTGGCCTTGAACTCAAGGAGATCCTCCTGCCTCAGCCTCCCCAGTGCTAGGATTACAGGTGTGCAGCCAGCACAGTGGGGAACTCATTGAATAACAGACAGGGTATTCAGACAGCAGAAAACCAGTCACATTCAAAATCAGGAAGGAGAGCTGGGAGTGGCCACATGGAAAGACATCAAGTGAAAGTGAAGCTCCCAAGCAGTCTATGCTGGTCTACTCATCTATGTTCTTTACATGTAGAAATGTAACATGATTTTCCTTCACACTCATATATACATACATATGTAGCTGACCAAATTAGAACCTGGAGGAACATAGCCAGGCATGTTGGTGCACACCAGTAATCTCAGCACTTGGGGAGGCTGAGGGAGGAGGATCGCAATTTCACACACAGCCTGGGCAATTTAGAGCGATCCCCCGGTTTTTTTTGAGACAGGGCTCCCTATGTAGCCCAGACTGGCCTTGAAATTTAGTGAGATTTTGTCTCAAAAGAAAAATTTTTCAAAAGTGATGGGAAGCTGGGGAGGCAGCTCAGTGTAAAGGACGTGGGTTCATTCCCTCATACCATTAAAAAGGAAAAAAGAACACCTTGCAGAAAGAGTGACAAAGTGAGTGCTAACGATAACCCTCTGGGGTGCCAGGGAGAAACTTTGATTTTCTTCTTTTTTCCAGTACTAGGGATCAAACTCAGGACCTTGTGCTTTTGAGGCAGGCGAGGTGCTGCTGAGCTAAATCCCTGGCCCTTTTTTTTTTTTTTTTTTTACATAGGGTCTTGCTCTGTAGCCCAGGCTGGCCTCCAACTCAAGGTGATCCACCTGCCTCAGCCTCCCAAGTCCTGGGACTACAGGTGTGCACCACCAGGCCCGATTCGAAACTTTGATTTTCTGTGTTCTCCTCTGTCATACTAAGGTTCTTTACACGGAGCATCTGCCCTCCACTCCTTCCCCTGTCCAACCTCTCCGAGCCCTTCCCATCACAGACAAAGCCTCTCTCAGGAGGCTTCGCAGGCCAGAGCCGGAGTGAGACCCCGATGCTACAGGCACTGGAGCAGACAGGCCCCAGGTGCAGCTTGTTCCTGCATCTCCCACTTAGACTGTGGGGTCCACACAGGCAGGGACCGTATCTATGCTTGTGTCGCTGTATTCTGGGGCCTGGTAAGATGCTGGGACTGGAAGCCAGGTATATGGTCCTTCCCCTCTCTGCCTCCCAGGTACCTAGTTCCACTTCTGCCAGCACTAGGCTGAGGGATGGTGGAGAAACTTCACCAACCGTGGGTTGCAGCAGCCTTATCGGCGGAAGGAGGGCAAGTTGAGCCCCTTCCAGATCTACTGCTCGGGAGGTGCTCCTGCTGGCTCCCTCGGTGCGGTGCCCCACCCCAGCCCAGCTGCCTCACCAATGCCTGCTCCTCCCAGACGTGCCCACCTTGTACAGCACTAGGAAGATGATCAGCAGCAGCAGCAGACCCCCCGAGCCGCTCAGCACGTAGAGGTACAGCATCTCCTTCTCATACACCACGTCAACCTTTGTGAGGACCTGGGGAGAGCCAGGCAGTGCGGGGAGGACCTCCGGCCCTAGGGGTCCCCATTCCCAGCCTCATCTCCGTCCCCAGGGGCCTCATCTTGGCACTGGCTCTGCTGCGACACACCCTCAGTGCGGGCCCCAGTCAGGCGCTGGCACAGCCACTGTCAGCCAAGACTCACACAGCTCCCCAAGGGCCCAACGGAGCCAGCATCCTAGCGGGGCACTCACAGCCTCCCCAAATCTGGCTTCTGAGATTCAGCTGCCTGCCAAGCTGTCCTCCCCGCCCTGCTACCTCCTGCCCTCAGCGCGGGGCCTCTGCGCTTGCTGCTCTGCTCTGAGGACCCTCTCTGCTTGCCGCTGGCTGGTGGCCTTTTGTTAAACTGCCACCAGATTCTTCTTTGAGGGACACGAGAGACTGCTGGCCTCAGATAGGCAAGCTTCCCCGCAGCACACAGCTCTGGCCTGGGGCAACTCTGACCTGGGCCGAGACCTTTGGGCCATGCAGGTCTCCCTCCTGCACCTCTGCCCTGGGTTCCGGGCCCTCAGCTGCCCGCCGTGGCTTGAGGTGCCACATACCTGGGCCAGGGAGGCATTGGTGCCGTACAGGTGGAAATGCCTGCTGCTGTTGAAGGAGATGGACAGCGAGCTGCAGAGGCTGAGCGTGGAGGAGGCCTGCGGCCAGGCAGGGGCAGAGAGAAGGAGAGCCATGACCCAGAGCCACTGAGGGCTGCAGGGTCCCAGCAGGGCGGCTGTGCATCTCAGTCACTCTTCCCTGCCTCAGGGGAAGTTTCCCTAGAAACCTAAGCACTGCCCACATGGGCCCCAAACCACCCTGCAAATTCCAAACAAACCCTGGTTCTCTCTCATCTGCAACTGTATAAACCTGGGGATTTTCCATTTAAATAGAAAACCTGGGGTCAGGGACAGCCTACCCTCACTCAGACCATCTCGTGCCAGCTGTGAGCAGGCACTACCTCAATGTCGCCTGTCAGCTCCACGTTCGCAGTCACTTGGATGAGCAGCTCCCTCCTGAAGATGAGTGGGCAGTGGATGGTGGCTCCCAGGAGACAGGGCTGCAGGGCCAGGCACAGTCAGGGCCCTGCCTCCCCACCCGCGCTCCCCAAAGGGCACTCCGTACCTCGGTGGTGGTAGCGTTGGGAGACCACCCCGGGTCCTCACAATGGCAGGCGACGCGAGGCTCCTGGGCAGGAAGACGGGTCACAGTCGGCCAGAGCCTCTATGCACCCCAGAAGGCTGGCACCCAGCTTCCCCCTCACCACCCTGCTGATCCAGGCATGGCCGGGATGTGGATCCAACCACCCGAGTTTCCACACGCAGGCCGGGCGGCCCGCACTCACCATGTGCACACTCCAGCTATGTGTGAAGGGCTGCCCGGCATGGGGCTGTGGCACCCGGACCAAGGCCTCCAGCTCGGGCAGGTCGTGGTTGTGGGCAGAGGGCTGAATCCTCACCTGGCACAGAGGACAGGGATGAGAGCCTGAATCCTGGACTGCAGACCCCTGAGCAGTAACGGCTGAGCCCGGCCACCCTCCAGGCCCGCCGGTGCAGGCTCCAGGCTCTTCCCAGCTTTCCCCACGTGCCGAAACCTTCCGGCCTGCAGGGGCCTGCACCTCTGGCTCCCAAAGACAGGGCAGCTCCTTTGGGTCCCACGGCTCGTCCCAGGAGTGGGGCAAGGTCTGTGTCTCCATGAGACCATGAGCTTCCTGAGGATGGAGCCACGCAGGATTTGGATTTCATCTCCAGCTCCTCACTGCTTGATACAGTACCCTACATAGAGCAGTCTCAAAAAGGTAGTTTTCTTGTTGTTTTTTCGGGTTTTTTTGAGACAGGGTCTTGATATGTAGTTCAGCTGGCCCTGAACTCACTATGTAGCCCAGGCTGGCCTCGAACCTGCATCGATCCTCCTGCCTCAATCTTCTGTGTGTGCCACCATGGCTTGCTTTTTATTTTTGGTGCTGAGGACGGAACCCAGGGCTGCACACATGCTAAGCATGGACCCTACTGCTGAGCTACAAACCTCCAGCCAAAAAGTAGTTTTCTGAATTGAGTGAGTGAATGATATTTAACAAGGATAGATACAAAAATTACTTGTACAAGGCAGGTTGGAAAGGACTCATTTTGGCAACTACACTGAATTAAAAAACATTTGAGTGCTTTGTATATAAAAAGAACTGTGTGTTGTAGGGTGGAGCACCCAGAAATGTGTAGGAAGGTGACACAGAAGTGGCACCTTTACTGTCTCAAAGAGGTCGGGCAGGGATGCGTATATCCGATTTTCAGGGTTCTGTTGTTTGTCCATTCAACAAACATTTGTGGGCACTTAAAATAGCAGCCGGAAAGGTCCAAAGTCAGAGGCGGCATTTGAGGCGCAGTGCGGAGATAACCCGCTGCTTCACAGAGGGAGATGGGGAGCACACTCAGGCATCAGGCCGGCACCGGGAGCAGTGCACGGCCGGAAGGTGGGCGCTGGGAAGGAAGCATGGATCTGACCCTCAGGCCTAGAAGCCTGAGGCCTCAGAGCCAGGAATAATCAGTGAGGAGGGATGGAGCGAAGGTGGAGGAGCCAAAAGGGCTGCAGACGCCAGAACTTCCGGAAGCAACAGGATCTAGCAAAGTACAAAGCGGAAGCACAGCTCACCCCGCATTTGGATGAAAGGCCAGGCTCTCCCAGCGCCTGCCTGCGCTCAGGCTTGCGGAAAGGAGGTATAACGCTGAAGGGGCTGGGAGATGGCAACGCAGCTCAAAGGCCTGCAGGACTGTACCTGGTAGATGTGCTTGATCTCATGGCTCTTGGGACCTTTTGGGGTGAAGCTGACATAGAGTGTAGAGTTTTCCTGGCTGTGGGGAGAGCAGAGAGGGAAGGTGGTGGAGACGGCGCTGACTCCAGGCAGCCCAGGGAGCACACCGGGGAGACAGCGCAGGAGCCGGTGCAGCCTACACTGACACCGAGTCCTCTCCTTGTCACCAAACCAGCATCTCCACTCCCCTCTGGCCCTGCTCACCCAAGGTCAGCACCCTGCCCCACCCTTCTGGCTGACCTGACCCCAGCCCTGCGGCTCACAGGCTGAGCCGCCTCCCGGCTGCCCAGGGCGGGCCCAGGCCCCACGTCCTCCCCTGCCTGCCCCTGCCTGGCCCTGCCTGGATGGTGTCGGCCCATTCTGGCCTGCACACCTGCCTCATCGGCTGGTGCTGCAGACCCCGGGCCCAGCCCCACTTTCTCCTCCTCCCCCACCTCCCCCACTCTTTGCTGTCTGTTTCTTATCAGCCTCATGCGGCTTGGCATCTATGTTTGAAAGTATGAAGTATGCGCTCCGAGCTTAGATCCTATCCCTGCCCTGTCTCACTAAGCTACCTTGCGAAAGCCTCTGCTTTTCTAGCTTCCTTCTCTGTAAACTAGAAGATCTCCTCGGTGTGCCGGGGCTCAGGGACCCTGGCTCTCCAGCCTCTGCCTGGGCAGGAGTCACACAGAGGCCCCACAGCCTCCGACGCCGCCAGAGCAGGCACAGGTCGGCCCCAGGCCTGGACTTGGGGCTTTTTCTTCCACTGGTAAAGGGTGGCCTGGCTCAAGAGCCCTCACCACGCCTTTGGTTTCTGGAGGGCTGTGGACTAGGGGCTGTGGCTGGGATGAGCTCCAGTGCCCCTGGGCGGCAGGAGGGGGCCCACAGCACTCACCCCTCAATGAGGACATTGACGGGGTACAGGACAGGGATGCTGGTGGCGGCTGTGTTGTCCCCCTGCAGACTGCTGTCCTCGTTCTCACTGCAGGGGAGGCAGGGCAGGGTCAGGGGCAGGCCTGGTCAGCTTCGGGCCCTTCCCGGGGCTGCTCACCAGCGCACAGTGGAGTTCAGCCCGACGAAGTCCCCCCAGGAGCTGTTGAGCAGTGTGCTGAATATCGCCCGGATGCCAACCTAGCAGGTGGAGGCAGTGGAGATGGAGGCTTGGGAGCAGCCCGAGATTCTGAACAGCACCCAGCCTTGCTACCTCACACGCCGGGAGGTGCTCCATCCCCACTGTACAGAGGAAGTTACGTGGTGGACAGGACCACAAAGTGAGTGACCCACCCCAGGTTTGTCTAGCCCCAAGTCCAGGCTCTCAAGCAGGACCCAGACGGGTCCCTACCCCAGGGACCCACCCTGGCTGGCCCCTCAAGGATCCCTCCCTGCCCTGGCTCTGGATCTCTTGATCCTGGGTACCAGCGAGCAGCACTCACCGAGCTGCCTGCTTTGAGGATTGGTGAGCTCACGTTGCACACCAGGGTCTTGGCCAGGAGCCCGGGCTCCTCAGGAAGCTCCTCGCAGCTCACGGGCATCTGGCTCCTTGGCTGCAGGCAGGCAGAGGGGACACGGGTTGTGGGTGGACAAGCTCAGGGCTCCTGGCCATCACCCCTCAGGGCTGACTGCTCCAGGGCCCTGTCCCTGTGGCACAGTCTCAGAATGCCGGGGTGAGAGGTCAGGGGCTCAGCTGGCAGAGGTGCACCTGAGTCCTAGGTTCCCGGGAGTCCGGGGCAGGAGGATCACTGGAGCCTAGGAGTTCTAGGCCAGCCTGGGCAAGAATGAGATGGTGTCTCCAGAAAACCAAAAGCCAAGCAAATCAGAAACATTATGCCAAGCCAGGCACAAGAGACAAATATTCTATTGTTGATTTATATGAGCTGTCAATAATAGGTAAATTCATAGGAACAGAAAGTAGATTAGATGCTGCCAGGGCCAGAATGGGGAGTTACTACTACTTAACAGGTTTGAAAAGATGTAAAAGTTCTGGAAATACATAGTGCTGATAGTTGCACAACACTGTAAATGCACTCAGTACCAATAAATTGTATGGCTAGGAATGGTTCAGCTGGTATAATTTTTTTTTTTTTGGTATCGGGGATCGAACTTGGGACCTTGCGCTTGTAAGGCAGGTGCTGAAACCACTGAGCTAAATCCCCGGCCCTCAGCTGGTATAATTTATATTATGTATATTTTGCAATAAACATTTTCATTTTTTTTTGGTACCAGGGATCGAACTCAGGTCCTTGCGAAGCAGGCAGCAGAACCACTGAGCTAAATCCCCAGCGCTTTTGTTTGTTTTTTGAGAGGATCTTGCTATGTAGTTCAGGCTGGCCTCGAACTCACTGAGTTCCTCCTGCCTCAGCCTCACAAGTGCTGGGATGACAGGTGCGGGCCACCACGCCCTGCTTTCACACACCCCTTTTCCTATGACCCTCACGCTAATCCTGTGCTGCCCATGGACTTACTTTTTGTTTGTGGGATCCGAGGCTGGGAGAAGGAAAGGGAACCATGGGCCTGGGAATTGCTCAAGCCGCCCTTCCTGCCTGAGGCTCCAGAAGGGAGCAGGGGCCTGGCTACGGCAGGTGCTGCTCACAGCTCACCTTCAGCATCTCCACTTTGCGGAATGACAGCCCCCGGGGGAAGCTCAGGCCCAGCTGCACCCAGTAGGCATCTTCTCCTGAGTTGCTCAGCGTCCACTCCATGGCGAGGCTGGAGGAAGGGGTCAGACGCAGGACTCTGTACCTGGCGGGAGGGATGAGGACAGTTATGGGGGCCAAGGGGAAGGGAGTGGTAGTCAGCGGAGCTTCAGAGCCCAGGGATCGGGCAGGCCACAAAGATAAGATGCAGGGTGGGAGGTACAGCTTGTGAGGCCTGGGCTCACTCTCCAGCCCTGGAAAAAAGAAAAGCCTCCTCTGCTGGGGCCTGCCCTTCTGTGACCTCATCTAGCCTGATGGGATGACCGAACAGGGAGCCTGCTGGTCTCAGAGAAGGAAGCGGCCCAGAGAGGCCAGCTGCCTCCAGCCGACACACAGCAGGCCAGTCTCCTGGCTCGGAGCTGCATGCTGTCCAGGACACACAGTGGACTCGGAGGGAGGGTGGGTGGTGGTGAAGCTTCAGACCTGGCAGGGGAGAAGGACAGCTTTAGGTCCGCCTCGCACTTCTTGTCCTCCCCGCAGTTCTTCTCAAAGGGGATCTGCAAGGCCAAGAAGAAAGGAATGGGCGCTCAGCTCTGGCCAGCAGGGCCCGCCCCAGGCCGGCCTTCTTACCTCCTTGGTCTCCACGTGTGGGGAGGGTCGCAGGATGGGCTGTGAGTCCGTGCCCTGCTGAGCATGGAGTGAAGACAGGAGAGCTTGCTGAGCAGCGGCGCCCATCGGCCCCAGAGGGCCGTGGCCCGTGCAGCCCTCCCAGGGCAGCGGCCTTTGGTGGGGAGGCTGAGGCTCTGAGTCCTCTCCTCCAGGGATGGGAATCCCGGGTGGGGCCAGAGCAGCCGGCAGCTGGCCCTGACAGGAGTCCTGGCTGTGTGGACTCCCCCACCACTCACTGCCTGGGAGCAGCCCTCCTGCCTGGCGCTTCCCTGCCAACCCCTGCAGCCTAGCAAGCCTCCAGCTCAGTAACCCAGGCCAAGTTTTCCAACAGTCTCCAAGCTCACACTGCAGATCAGGCCCGTGCCGAGCACTGGGAAGCACTGAGAGCAAGTGACCACCTGCCCTCCGAGGGGAGGGAGGGGAAACTGCATTTTCCATGGGGGTCAAGGGTGACGCTGAACAAGGACAGGGCATCTTCAGAGCATGGAGAAGGACTCCTACCCCAAAGCAATGCCATCTCAACTGAAATGTAAATGCAATCATTTGGACTTAAAATGTCCCCAAGGGCAGTGAGGCTTGGTGGCATAAACCTGTAGTCCCAGCACCTGGGTGGCTACGTACGGCAGCCTGAACGACATAGCAAGACTCTGTTTCAAATGAAAATAACAAAAAACCGAATTAAAAAACCCTCCCCTCCAAAAAACCCCCTGAAAATGTCCCCCCTTTACGGCCCATGTAGTAAAAGGCTGGTGCCCACCCAGGGCGCTTCTGTGAGGTGGCAGAACTTTTCTCTTCCAGTTGTGGCACTGGGGACTGAAGCCCAGTACACTGCACACAGCACTCGATCACTGAGCCATGGAAAACTCAGGTCCTGGTGTTGGGTCCTGCAGGGGGACCCTGGGAGCACGCCTTCCCCTGGGCTTCTCTGAGGTGAAGAGGTCACTCTGCCATGAGCTCCTCACACAGGCCCAAGGCAGCAGGGCCAACGACCGAGGACTGAGCCTTCCTCCATGGGAGCGGAGAGGCAGCCGGCACCTGCCCAGCCCAGAGGATTCTGAGTTTCACCTCCTGCTCCTGGGGCGCCTGCCAAGCAGACTGGACGTCCCTGAGGGCTGGCACCACCACACACCGTGGGTCTCACCGCCATCCTCCCTCCCCTGGCTCCACCCAGGGCTTCTTGACTTTGTGCTCTCAGGCCTCTTTTCCTGGGTTGGGACGCTGTGCTCGTCTGGCATGTAAGAGCATCTGTGCAGGGGCTGTGGGGGTCCTCAGAGAACCTCCTGGGCCCTCGCCTTTAAGACTGAGCCTCCACTCTCCTCAGGGTGGGCCCTGTCACAGATTGCTTCTCCCGGTCTCTCCCACAGTGCAGTGTGATCACGTGACCGAACTCTGGCTGAGGAGACGTAAGCCAAAGTGTTATGGGGATTTTTAAGGAAATATTCTTAAGGAAGAGATGGTGTGCTTCTCCTGCCCTCCCTCTGCAGGTGGGGATGCAATGCTAAGAGCCTGAGCAGCCAACCTGGAGCACAAGATGGTGCACAGGAAGAAGAAGAAGCGGCATCGAAGGAAGCCATGGCCGCCGATTTAGAGCAGGGTTGGGCAGGTGGGTGAGCAAACCACAGACCATGGCCGGATCCAGCCCCACCTGCCGTTCCCGAGGCTTTGATGCTATAGAGGGAGAGCTGAGTAAGAGAAACCACAGGTCTGCAAAGCCAAAGAGGTAACGGTGCCAAGCTCAGTGTGCAGACAGAACCGCCACACCAGCTTCCGGCTCCTTTTACAGAAGGAAAGATCCTCCACAGTGCGCATCTCGGCTGTTCACAGCCCAGTTACCATAACTGGTAATCTGTCCTGGGCCGCACAGGTGCAACAAAGCCCAGGTCTGAACTCCCCGGGTCCCTCCCGGTAAACCTGCCCTTGCCTGCGCTTGCCTGGGGTCCTCACTCAGACCCAAGTCTGGAGCCCACAGTCCTGGCCTCTTTCCCGCACCTCAGCTTCCTGCCAGGCCCAACTCCCTCCTCTCCATCCCTCGGGAACACAGGGCCCAGGCCAGTTTCCAGGGACTGGTTTAGGGGAGTGATATGGCCCAGGTTGTGACACCAGAAAGCCTCTTTTTTCTACCTGGAGTCTCTGAGTGGCGAACAAAATGTCTGACAATACAAGGATAACAAGTTGTGACACGAAAGAGTTCTGATGCCTGTGTTTAGGCTATTGGATGCAGACTCGTGTGAGGCCAGGACCCTCCCTCCATCTCAGAATCAATCCACCCCCTTGACACTTGCAATCAAAAATACTATGCATGGGGCCGGGGATTTAGCTCAGTGGTTCCGGAGCCTGCCTTGAAAGTGCAGGGAGCCGAGTTCGATCCCTGGTACCAAAAAAAAAAAAAAAAAAAATCTAAAAAAAAAAAAATGCATGCATAATATTTCCTTCTTGCATATAAAATTTTTTTTTTTTTTTTTTTTTTTTTTTTAGTACTGGGGATTGGCTTTCGCTCTGGGCTACAAACCCAGCTCTTTAAAAACAGCATTTTAAAAATTTTGAGCTAGAGGCTCATCAGGTCACTAAGTTGCCCAGGCTGGGCTGGAAGTTGAGATCCTCCTGCCTCAGCCCCCCACAGCACCCACCAGACCCAGCTCCCACTGAAAATGCCCTCAACAGGCTCCTCAGCACACAGAACAGGCCAGCACTCCTGGTCCATCCGCACCTCTGCTCGTTACCTGACTGTGTCCACATTATGCCCTTCTTCTAAATGCCCACCTCCCTTCTCTACCTGGGGACTTCAGGGGACCTTGTGAGCAGACTTTTCACACCCTCAAACCTGGCCGCTGACTGTTGCTGCCCCTTATCTCACTGCAGCGCAGCGTCAGGCTCTGTGCTGGAGCTGCTGACTTGTACGCAGAGCTGGGTGGGAGGAGCCCAGAGTAGGTCCCTGTGGGCTCCACAGGGCGGGGCCATACTCGCTGGCTCAGGGTAGCTGTACCCGGAAGGCACCTTAACTCAGCTTAGCTTTGCTGAGCTCTGGTGGGCAGTGCCTTGTTTCTGCTTCGCCCACCACCCTTGGGGCCCAGGAGGGGAGCCCAGGCGGTGGGTGGGTCTGCTACGTGCCGCTCAGAGCAAGTGTGCTCAGCAGACCCTGAGCAGGAACAAGAGGCCCCGGCTCTGGAGGGCGCTGCACAGCACCGAGTGTGCCAGGGAAGAAATCCACGAGTCAGGCTCTCAGGCCCGCTTCCTCCCTCCTGACAGCACCTCTGCCCTGTTTAACCACCAGCTGAGTGTCGGGGCTGCCAGGAGTGTCTGATTTGGGAAGCTGGGGCAGAACTGTTTCTGCCCTTTCACAGCACCCAAATTTGTCGGGGGAACTACCTGCCGCCAGCCAAACACACGCAGCTGAGAAGGCAAATCAAGGTGCCCTGTCCTCCTAGTGACAAGGAGAAAACAAGGCCCAGAGCCAGGCCTTCCAAAGTTCTCTCCTGGGGTTTGTGTGTTGCGCAGCGTTAGAACCGAAGTGGTCCAGGGCTGGTGCCCTGCAGGGGCTGGCGTGGGCTCACTGAAGGGGTCCTGGAGATCAACCCTTATCTCCTGCCCTAGAGTCCCAGGGTCACCAGCCTGGCTTCCTTTCTTCCCAGAGTTGTTTCTCCAAATTTCTTTCCAGTACAAACTCTCATCACATTCTCTTCCTGCCTTAGTCAGCCATGTTTAGCTTCCATGGCTTACGCCTGTGAAGTACAGCCACTTCTGCTGGCTGAGGTTTCCGTCCTCCCTACTGCCCATGGATCCCCTGAGCCCATCACCTCTGCTCACCACATTTCCATCCCTCGCTGCTCCTTCTTCCTCCCAAAGAGAGAAGTTCAGGGAGACGCTGATGGGGGAGATGAGATCTTGAACGCAGACCTGGGGGTGAGAGGAGCGCCGTGTGGGTCCAGTCCAACCTACGCCTGTTCCTGCCGAGTGCCTGCCTGGCCTGCATTTCACCAACAACAGAATTCTAGAAATTAGTTGTTTAAGACCCTTCCAGTTGTGAACTGCCCAGTAGTGAAAACACAGTTATCACATCAGGTGTTTACAATGCTCCTGGCACCAGCATCTGTTCCTCGGCCTCAACTCCACAGCAGACATCACGCGTCAACCCCGCACAGTTCCTCACAGTCCTAATGGCAGGGCCCGAATCTCTGTTACACGGCTTGGCAGCCATGACTGAAATCTGCACAAGAATGTTCTAGAATAACTATTCTCATCCTAGAACATTAGGTCCTTGGGAAGAGGTGCGGGTTTTTGTCTTGTTACCAGTGCCTGACACTAGCACTCTCAGGCTCTCGGATCATACTTTAACTGAAGTTTCCACGGATTTTAAGAAGTAAGCAATCATCCCATCTTCAAAAGGAGAAAACAGTGCTGAAAAGACCACCAGTGGTCCTCAGGACTACAACCGGGAGTGACAGAGCCAGGACTGGAAACCACAGCTGTCCAAGTCCAAATGCCCAGGACTTTCTACCGGGTCTCCTCACTGTTCTCTCTGGCAAATTCGTGTTTGAACTTCCCGAGCCTGGTGAAGTGCGGAGTGTGAGGAGGCGGAGACACACTGCACACCGTGGAGATGAGGCGACACCACCATGGGCAGTCGCTGAGTCCCCGCAGGTCATTAAATGGTTTCTACTTTTGTGTGTTTAGGGCCGGGGATTTTGCTCAGTGGTGCTGTTGCCTGCCTTGAAAGGGCAAGGTCCCAAGTTCGATCCCCAGTACCAAAAAGAAAAAAAACGACTATGAATCGTGAGTAGTGGAGTTATGTATGATGTGAGAAAAGGGCAGGGAAATGCATGGTACACTATACCAGTCGTCACACTCACAAGTCCCCGCATGACACAATCAGGACTGAAGAAAATGCGCTGCAGACACCATCCCGACTACTGCACAGCAGAGGAAACCGGAGCACAGGGAGAGCGACCTGCCTGTCACCCAGCATGACATCCACGCAGCGACTCTCCCAGAACCTCGCTTTGGGCTTCCTTACCGGGAAGTGAAACCAGAACCTCCTGCAGGACTCGTCTTGGGTGACAGCTGTAACCCTGGTGAGTCTGTGCCCCCCTCCTGGGAACGCGCCCCGGCTCCGGCTCCGATGGCCATCCAGCTGCAGGGTACAGGTGAGGTTGGCAGCCAGGTGACCTGCACAGGTGAAAGAGGCAGGGGTTGGATGGTGCCGGCGATGCTGGGGTCAGCTCTGGGGAGCAGGAGGGCGGCCCTGACCTCGGAACTGCTTGGTGAGACTCTTGAGCTGGAAACAGACTGTGATGTTGACTCCCTCCTTCTTCCTAGGGCTGGCCGAGTAGGAGCACTCTACCTCGTGCACTGGGATCTCCACTGGCGAGAAGGACATTCGAGTGACAACATCCACCACGGGCCGGGAGCTGCAGGGCAGAGATCCACCCACTCTCTCCTTGGCCCTGAACGAACACCCTCCGCTCTGGGCTTCGTCCCCCAACACCTGGAAGGCTCTCCTTCCGCCTCCTCTCCACAGGAACAGCCATGGTGACAACTAACCAGGGCTGCCCAGTTCATGCCGACAGCCTTGTGAGCCGCGTCCATGAAGTGTGAGATTTTAGATAGAGAAACCAGGGCTGGAAATGTAGCTCAGGGCAGAGCACTGGCCTGGTGTGTGTGAGGCCCTGTGTTCCATACCCAGGACGAAACACACCCACACCCACACACTGGACGGATACTCAGCTGCTTCTATGCCTGTAACTGTCCGATGCTGCTGTGTGTTTAGAATAAAATTCAACCCTTTTACTTTTCACGCCAAACTGCCTCTTTCCAGCCTTCCCTCCCACCATGAGCCTGGCCTTGAGTACACTCCAGCAACACAGCTGTTCCCTGTTACACTTCAGCCTCCTCATGGCCACGCACATCCGGGATTTCTACACAGAAGGCTCTTTTTTTGGTACCGGCGATCGAACTCGGGTCCTTGCGCTTGTGCAGCAGGCAGTGAAACCACTGAGCTAAATCCCTGGCCCCCTGCACAGAAGGCTCTTAGTCTCGATTCCTGCAATCCTGGCTCCTTCTCATCACAGCACTTGTCACAGTCTGCAGCCAGGCGCTGGGAGGCGGACAGACACAGGCAGACACAGCAAGACCTGGCTCGACCCTGCCCCAAATACAATTTATCATTACCTATTTACTTGTTAAACTTTAGAAAAGCTTCCCATAAAAAATTTTTTTTTCCATTGCCTGCCTCACAAGTGTGAGGATCTGAGTTCGATCCCTGGTGCCAAAAAAAATTTTGTTTTTGAAACAGGGTCTTGCCATGTAGCCTCCCAGTGCTGGGATCACAGGCGTGTGTCACCACACACACTCTGGACCAAATGCCTGATCCAGCGCTCCAGACCCAGCAGGTAATCAGGGAGGGAGGGAGCAGCTTGCCTAACATGCTCAAGGACCTGGGTTCCACCCCCAGCACAAGAAAAGAAAGTATAAGAGAAGGGAAAGGAACAACTCATTATCCTTTTTTTTTTTGGTACCGGGGATGGAACTCAAGACCTTGTGCTTGCAAGGCAGGCATCGGAACCACTGAGCTAAATCCCCGGCCTTATTCTTAAATTTTGAGACAAGGTCTCACTAAGTCACCAAGTTGCCCAGGCTAGCTTCTACTAGTGATCTTTCTGCCTCAGCCTCCTGGAATGCAGAGATTACAGGTGTGCACCACCACATCCAGCCCTCCTGATTTTTCTTAATTCTCATTTCAGGGGCTGGGATGTTGCTCCAGGGCACAGTGCGTACTCAGCATTCATGAGGCCCTGGGTTTGATCCTCAGCATCAGCAAAAAAGAGATCCAGTACTTGACTGATAAACATCTATTCCCTGTACGATGTTACAGATGATGGTTCCAACAACTCTAAGCCTAGGTCCCGAGAACCCAGCCCTCCATGTTCTAAGGCCAAGCCTTTGACGCTGCTCCTCCAGGTTCCAGTGTCAGAAAGGCCTGGGTTCGAGCCCCAGTTGTCACTGAGGGCAGCTGTTGACCCCCGAGGAAGACCCGAGACCTCTATCAACAGAACCCACCTCGCGGGCTTGGGGGAGACCCCATGAGCCAGCACTCTCACCTCAGCACGGTCACCTGGCCCTCGGCCCCCACCGCAACATCTATCAGGCCGTCCCCGCCGAGGTCCTTCACCCCGTGGAGGGAGCGTCCGAACCACCGCAGGCCTGCTGCCACCTGGCTCCCTGCTACCCGCTGGGGGCAAGAGAGGAACGCAGGGGAGGGTGGGAGTTGGCCCAGGACTGGGGCCTGGGCACAGGCTCTGGCGGGCAGGCGGGGGCCTCACCTGGCTTGGCCGGGGGCTCAGCCCCCCACGCTGCCCATTGAAGACGTACACGGCACCCTGCTCCTCCAGCGGGGCGCCCACAGCCACGTCCGGCAGCCCATCCCCATTGATGTCTGGCAGGGCGCTGATGGCGGCTCCAAACCTCCCGAGGGGGTGGCCCAGGTTCCCATGCAGCTCTGAGACGGCCCCGAACCCCAGCTGGAAGGAGCAAGTCACGCACCCTGTCACCCAGGAAGCTTCCACAGAGTGCGAAGAACAACTGAGTGGAGAGCATTAAAGAAAGGTTAGCCGTCAGCCTTCTCGGAGCAGGGAGTCTCTGTCCACAGCGCTGAGCTTCCATGCCTCGTGTGCTTGGGGCTCTGGGAAGCTGCCTCACTTCACTGAACCCGGCGCTCCCACCTTCGAGATGGGGCCCGGAGGTCTTAGGAGGTCACAGCGGGCAAAGTGAGGCTGTGCACACAGGGTGTCTGGCACTGGGCCTTGTGAGCTGTCCCTTGTCTGCTATTCTAAAGTTTGTCTTTTTGTGTATTTTGAGACAGGGTCTCGCTGGCCTCGAACTCATGGCAATCCTCCTGCCTCAGCCTCTCAGGTGCTGGGAGTACAGGTGTGAGGTTCCAAAGGCTGGATTAACGCGAGATCAGATGCAGAAGCCCTTCAGAGCCCTGGGACCTGAGCAGGCCTGTGAAACTCTACTTCCCTTCCACCCCACTCCAGTCACAGTTCCCACCTGTTTTCTCTGGTAGATAAACACGCGGCCTCCTCTTTGCTCCCCATAGAACAGAGGGGCTCCAATCAGCAGCAGCTCTGTCTCCCCATCTTGATCCATATCAATGCCACACAGCTCACCACCAAAATAAGAGCCAACCTATACAGGAGAAAAATGGCTGAGGGATAGCAGGGGTGGCAGGTGACCACCTACCCCTCGGCTGCACCATGTCCACCCTCTTCCCACCCCAGGTCCAAGTCCTGGACCTCCTCAGAGCCTATACTGAGTCCACACATCGGGGCTCTGCAAGATGCGGTGTCTTAGACAGGACAGTGGCCATGGCAGGGCTCCTCCTAGAGGGCTTCTGAGCCCTAATGTGACGGGGCTGCCACACAACAGGCATGGGGAGCACTGTTCATGCCACAGCCCGGCCGGAAGCTGCCCCTGGGCCATGCTCACCTGGGTCCCTTCTATTGTCTGGAGCTGCGTCCAGCGTCCTGTGTCCCTTGGCTCTTGGAACAGCAACACCCGCCCCACATGCTGGTACCGAGGGGCTCCAGCCGCCACCAGGGACTTGGACCCCTGGGAAGGCAGCCAGGCCACCATGTAACCTGAGTGGTGGAAGGGGGGCCAGGGTTAGGGATGCAAGGGCCGCAGGAGGGAGGGACCCAAAGCCCCTAGGATGGGGCTGAGCTTTGAGCATCTGGAGGCTGCCATTGTGGGCGGGCTGGGATTTTACCGTACTCTACAAAACAGAAAATCACCTTGAAGACAGCACAGTGGGTGGAGTGGCTCACAGAACAGACTACCTGTGCTCCTCTACTAGTTCTGTGAACCTGAACAAGTTATTTAAGCTGACCTTGGCTCAGGCGTGCATCAGCACATTCACCCATGTAACACATTGAAAACACAATACTTATTCAGTAAAGAACTGGACGTGAAGTTGGACATGGTGGCCCACTCCTGTAATCCCAGCACTCAGGAGGCTGTGGCAAGAGGATTACCTCGAGTTTGAGGCCACCCTGGGCTACACAATGAGTTCAAGGCCAGCCCGAACTACAGAGACCTTGTCTCAAAGAAAGAAAGAAAGAAAGAACTGGGTGTGAAGGTGCACACCGGTAATCTCAGCACTCAAGGAGCTGAGACAGGAGGATCACAAGTTCAACTCTGATATGAACAATTTAGTGAGACTTGGTCTCAAAATGAGTAAGTAAATAAAACAGACGGAGGATATAACTGAGTGTTAGAGTGCCCCTGGGTTCTATCCCTCAGTCAGACACACACACACACACACACACACACACACACACTGTTCAAAACAAAACAAAAACAGAAATTTCTGTGGATAGCCTCTTTTAGAAGGGTAGATACAAGATGAATAGCACCAATTTTTCTGATGGAAAAATTAATAAACTCTTGTATGCTGTTTCACTGACAAGTGACCCACTCCTGAGCAGTGGTCCTGGAAGGGGGAAGGTGGCTGTGCCCACAAGGGTCGATTTTGGAAGCCGTGCCACCAGGGCTCTGTGAGGTGCTCAGCTCTCCGGACAGACTGGCTATGGAGCGGAGGGACCTTCTGGCTGCAGGGAGAACCCCAGCTACCTGGGTGAACCAGAACCACATAACTCCGCAAGAAGAGTCTCCAACAGTGCCCTCAGGTGGCAGTGAAAAGTAACAGCGACTGTGGACTGAGACTCATTTTCTCTAAGCTCAGCACTAAAAGAACTCTTTTTTTGGGGGGTACTGGGGATCGAACTTGGGCCCTAAATCCAAGGCCCTCAAAAAAACTCTTGAAACAGAATACAACCCTTGGTTCTTGGACAGTTCAGTAGAAAAAAGCCTCGTGAAGAAGCTGCTAGTCCTCCTCCTGAGAAGGAAGATTGTTTTAAAGTGTACCTGGGATTAACATATAGGTGCAACTGGGTGAGGACAGAGGAGCCATCACAGTGCACAGGCAGTCCCCAGAGCAGGAGGCACTGCAGCCTCATTGGGCAACAAGGAAGCAGCAGGGTGGTAAGGAGGAGAAAGGTGCGGGGAGCGGATTGCCTAGTGCCTTCACTGTGGCTTCTGTGGCAAGGAAGGCAAAATAGGGGAGGCCAGTGTGAGCAAGCCCCAGACCAGACAGGTCCAGGCCACAGCGATGGCCTCCAGGAGGCTGGTGCCTGGCCATGGGAGCGCAGGGCAGGGCGGGGTGGGGCGTGGCAGGGCGTGGGCTGGTGGTGTCAGGTAGAGGGGCTGGGCCTGGGCTCTGGACCACGCGTGCATGTGAAAAGCACATTCCCAGGCACGCTTTTCTGCACCTGTAAGAACGGGCCAGGTGTGAGAGGGGTCTCTCCAGGAGCAGCAGGGCCCAAAGATGTCAAAGCACCAGAAAATATAGAAAATAAAAGACACAATAAATACACAGGTGAGGGATTATTAAGGGAAATTTGAGACTGTGGTAGCCAGGGCCGGGGATTTAGCTCAGTGGTTCTGGCGCCTGCCTTGCAAGCTGAGGACCCAAGTTCGATCCCCAGTACCAAAAATAAAAAGACTGTGGTAGCTGTAGTTAAACTGAGTCTGCTCGTGCTGGCTGCTTACCTGCCCTCACCATCACTCTGAGAGCCCGTGTGAGCTTCTCTCAGGCCCCTCAAACAGAAGAACCCAGCACAAAAGAGAAGCACTCACCTAGATAGCCTGCTCTCGCCTCCAGTGTCAGTGGCTCATTCCCAACAAATGCCTGATCCTGCAGGTCTTCATTCAGGTCGACAAAGCCCCCAGCCCAGTCCTTTGCTCCAACTGCCCCCACAACAGCATGGCCCTGCCCAGGGAGGGAGAGGCGTGGGCTCGGGACCCCGCTGGCTGCACCCCATGCCTCCCCCTGAGGGTCGCCTTAGGCCACCACACACCTTGCTGAGGTCTGCGCTGATCCCACTGGAAGACAGCTCCATGTTAAAGGACGTCAGGTCCTGTTTGCTGGTCCCTGAAGGAGAAAAGGCAAAAACCCCATGAGCAGTAAGGGCAGCAATGCTTGCGGGGGACTTCGGAGGAAGCACAGAGTTTACCACAGCAAAGCACACAGCACTCTCAAACCTTATAGCGATTTGGAACAGAGAGGCAGCCAAGCACTGTTTTCTCATGCATGAGCCCAGGAGCTCAGGGCTCCCCTGTAGTGGGTCCAAGATGCAGCAAGATTTTTTTTTTCTTGGTACAGAGATTGAACTCAGGGCCTTTGCACTCAGCTACATCCTTAGTCCTTTTTAAATTTTTTTCCCCCCGTACCCGGGATCGAACTCAGGACCTTCCACTTGTCAGGCAGGCTCGGCGCCACTGAGCTACATCCCTGGCCCTCTTTTTAATTTTTTATTTTGAGAGAGGGTCTCTCTAAGTTGCTAACCCAGGCTGGGCTTGAACTTGCAATCATCTTGCCTCAGCCTCCCAGAGTGCTGGAATTACAGCCGTGTGCCACCAAGCTTGGCTGTAGCTCTTCTTTTTTTTTTGGTACCAGGAATCGAACTCAGGTCCTTGCACTTGCGCAGCAGGCGACCAAACCACTGAGCCAAATCCCCGGCCCTGTAGCTCTTGACTTTGGTTCCTTCTCAGGCTCCCCAACTTCAGCCAGTGACATCCTCACAGCTCCAAGGAATCAAGCTAAAAGCCAGGAATGAACCTTGGCCCTTCCCGCACTGTCCTGTCTGGAACACACCAGCAGACCCGGAGGTTCAGCCTTCAGGAGACGCCCGCCCCTTTGTGAACAGCCGCCATGCACAGCCACCCTCAGCGAACCTGACTGTGCAGTAGCTTAGGAATCTGTTCTCTGGCTCCAATCTCCCCATGGTTTCTTTCTATAGAACAAGGCAGAGCAATCTCTTTTAAAAATGGATGTGGAATCCTATCATTTCCCTTCTGAAAAACTCCTCCTCACTCTCACTGCTTGTCACTGAACTCCAACTCGTTACGAGGCCTCCGAGGCCCCTGCACCTCTCCGACCTCCTCTCCCCTCTTCACCTCAACCCTGCCTCGATGGCCTGCTCCATTCCCGACAAGCCTGCCCTCACCTCTGGCTTTTGCGTGTGCCTCTCTCCCTCGGATGCTCTCGGCTCACACTCCTCACGTGGCTCTTTGATTCTTACCTTTCAGGTCTCAACTCAAATGACATTTCAGTGTATTTTACCTCAATTTCTACAATTTGTCTCTGGCTGGGGTGCAGCTCAATGGAGAGCACTACTGCCCAGGAGTGAGCCCCTTCAATTGAGCCCCAGCACCACAAGAGAATACAATTAAAAAGGTCATTCCAGAAAGGCCTTCCTCCACAGGTCCACTAAAGTAACCTCCTCCCCAAGGCTGCCACAGGACCCTGAGCGACACCCAGCCCAGCATCCTCTTCTCAGCCCCATCTCACTGCTTTATTCATCCTTGGGATAACTCTTATGCGGGGAACCCTGCGCTGTAGATCGCTATGGCCAGGCCTAACTCACCTCCTCCCGTGGATGAGGCAGGGGCCCCACAGCAAGGAGAATAAGCAATGAGAGGGTGCGATGGAGCAAGGCCTGGCCTAGAGGAGGACTGTCTTCCTCTCCACCCATTCGCCAGAAAACCATCTAGCATGACGTCCTGCGGATCTTGGCTGCTCTCCTGGCTCTGGTTACAGCCCAGCCCCTTTGACCTCCCCCTGCACTTCCCTTATCTCTACCACTATAAATAAACAAGCTGCAGTTGCTTGGGGTCTTTTGCTCCATCAGGAGTTAGAGCCCCACCTGTACCTTATTATATCTCTTTGCCTGTCTTTCTTAATCTCTCACCATGGTTCCTCCCTCGATGAACCCTTCTGTCACGTGGGCCCTGCCACTATCAGAATCTTTAGAGACAATGTTTACTTGTTTACTGTCTGTATCCAATGTGAGTATGAGCTCTAGTTTCCAATATCCTTGAGTATCTTATTAACATAGCCTGGTACTTGGCTGCTGAAAGCATGAATCAATAAAAGAAAACGGAAGCCAGGCATAATGGTGCAACCCTATAATCCCAGCAGCACTCAGGGAGGCTGAGGCAGGAGGATCACAAGTTAGAGCTGAGTCTTGACAACTGAGGGAGACTGTCTGAAATTTTTTAAAAAGGCTGGAGATGTATCTCAGTGTTAAGGTCCTAGGTTCAATTCCCAAAAGAAAAAAGAATAAGAGAAGAGAAATAGTAGTACTAGCATTCAAGAACATAGCAAATATAATGATAACTTGTTCATCCACCGAATGAATTTTACAGCAATTAAGTTTGTGCGCCAGGGGTACAAACAGTGCAAAGGCAGGCAGAGCACTCGCCACAGAAGAGCTCACCCTCACTGTGCAGACAGCGAATGACAAACCAGCAGCCAAGTCAGCCACAGGGGCTGACAGGGAGCACACAGCTCACAGATTACCTCAGGGCTATCAGCGAGGGGCTATCAGGGAGAACTGCACCGGAAGTGACCCCTAAAGCAGGAGGGGAGGATGGGGCCAGGTCCAGAAGAGGGTGGGAGTGGGGAATGATAAGAGCTGTCATCTACAGACAGCCTACAATGTCCTGGGCACCTCACCAGGCTTTGTTCTTTGAGACAGGGTCTCACCATGTAGCCAGGTTGGCCTCAAACTCGTGGTGATCCTCCCGCCTCAGCTTCCTGAGTGCTCGGACTATGGCGTGCACCACCACCCCTGGCCTACTAGGCTGTTCTTGTTGTTGCTGTTGTTGTTGTTGTTGTTTTTGGTATCGGTGATCGAACTCAGGACCTGGCACTTGAGAGGCAGGCCTGGTGCCACTGAGCTAAATCCCCGGCCCTAGGCTGTTCTTATGGAGTGACTTGGGTCCCCTAAAAGATATGTCGATGTCCTAATCCCCAGTACCTCCAGATGTGAACTGATTTGGAAATATGGTCTTTACTGAAGTAATCAAATTAAGTTGAGGTCACAAGGGTCGGTCCTAATCTAAACGACGGGTGTTCTTACAGAGAGATTTGGACATAGGGAAGACAACATGAAGAGACACCGCCATGCGCCTGGAAGGTGCCCCTCCACATGGAGGATGCAGGGCCCACTGCTGAACCCCCAAAGCACAGGGGCCGAGGGTAAGTGTCCAGAGGACTGCGGCCCCCCAACTCATTGAGTCTGGATTTCCAGCTTCCAGAAAGGTGAGACAGTAAACTTCAGTTGCTTTGAGACACCTAGTCTTTGGTATTTTTAGAGCAGCCCTAGGGAACTAACAGCAGCCTAGATGGAGCTAACAACCTTCCATCTCTGAGACCCAGATTAAGCTCACTGAACAGAACAATGAGCCTCATGGAGGAGAGGGACCCGGTGGAGCCCACAGCAAGGAAAGGCCGTGGCTTCTCCACAGGTCTAGCTGGCTGCGTTCTCCACATCTCACTGCATCTTCACAAAGCCCACACACGTCCTGACCCCGGGACCTCCTGCGGGACCTCTGGCCTTGCATCAGACTGGGATGCCTGGGGGACGACCCGGTAGCCAGCGGGTCTCGGGCGGCGCTGACAAGCCCTCCGCCAGCCACACCAGGCGCCCACTGCCCCTGCTCAGGAAGCTGGGCCTGGACTCCATGACAGTGAGACCGGGCAGGAAGGGACAGGGTCACCCTGCAGGGATGAGGTGACACAGGCAAGACACTGCTCCAAAGGAGGCGATGCACAGAAATGCTACATCTAACTCTGCCCGAGTCATCTTCTCTTCTTAGTTAGGGCTGGGTTTTGTTTTGCTTTCCACTTTTAGGAGCGCTCTCAGCACAGGGTCAGGTCCTCGGAGCCCGTCCCTCTTCAGTGCGTCCCTATTCCCCAGTAAGGTTCTGAATGCCTTCCCAGCCCTCTCCCAGGGCTGCCACTCACCCTCAATGACATAGATCTTCTTTTCCAGCTCTGTGAACAGATATTTGAGCTTCTCAAATGTGTCCAGAATCTTGACAAACTCCTCTATGGGTTGTGAGGCAAACTTGTGGAGCTTCTCCTGACTTTGCTTGGTCTTAAAATGCTTTCCAATCTGTGAGGGAGAGAAGAGTGAACAGCTGGTGTCCCCCAGGTCTCAGGCCAGTTTTCAGTGATTTTCATAAGACCTGGGCCCCGAGACAAAGGAGCAGGGGCTGGGACGGGAACGGGAAGACAGGGCCTCACCCCGATGATGTAGCGGACAATGTCTCTGGCCACCTCCACGTCGCCCGTGTCAGTGGCCTCCCCATCTGTGATGATGATGAGCACTTTCGTGGCATCTGGCCGGGCCCCCTGCTCTGGCCGGAACACCTCTGTCCTGTGTCACGGAGAGGAGGATGTGAGGCTCCTGAAGCCAGAGCCTGCCGTCTCCCAGCTCCCTGTTCATTCCACCACTGCCCTGACAGAGAGGTAAAGTCCTTCTCGAGTCTCCCAGGCAGGCGATCCAAGCCTTTGTGTCTTCTTGGCCTCCCACCTCACCTGCCCTCATTGCTGTGCCTCCCTCTAGGCTTTCTCTAAAATTCTTAGCTGAGGGCCGGAGATTTAGTTCAGTGGTTTCGCCTCCTGCAGCATAAGCGCAAGGTCCTGAGTTCGATCCCCAGTATCAAAATAAATAAATAAAATAAAATTCTTAGCTGAGCTGGGCATGGGGGTGCATGCCTATAACCCTAGCACTCAGGAGGCTGAGGCGGGAGAATCGCCATGAGTTTGAGGCCAGCCTGAGCTACATAGCAAGATCAAGACCAGTCTGGACTACATAGTGAGACTCTGTCCAGAGAGAGAGAGAGATAGAGAGAACGAGAGAGAACTCTTTGCTGAGACTGAGGGTCTAGTCTCTCGTTGTATTCCGGGTAGCCTGGAGGACATCCGAGAGTTCATGGGCCCCGAAGGAGGTTTTGTGAAGGGTGACTGGGCTTTGTCTGCTTTCTATTTCAACCACACAGCAACCAGGGGGACGTTGTAGGGACGCTGATCCAACTGAGTCCTCAATGAGAACAGAAGGGCACTGAGACCCAGAAGTCCCTCTTCCACAGCGACCACCTCCCGCCACCTCCGGGCTGCCAAGCAGTCAATCTGGTGAATCCACTGACGCGTTTGTCCGCTGTCCCCGAACCTCGGAATGCTCACGGTCACTGCTGTGTCTCCGCCTCCTGGCAGGACAGGTGCTCGTGCACTTGAGAGAAGGAAGAAAGGGAGGCGGGGCCCCTCTGACCGCCAAGGCGGTGTCTCTGGCTCCGCCTTGCACATCCCTTAAATGTTCCCCAGCTTCTGACCTGCAACACCCAGCTTGATCACCTCATCTGCAGCTTCAGCCTCCTGACGGGACTTGGCCTGACTTCGCACGTCTGCAATCTAACTAATCCGCTCTGGAGCTGGAGGGTTCTTCACTTATTTTTTAACAGACAGAGAGGTTTTTAAAAAAACATAAACCAGATTGTCACTGCTGGCTCAGAAGCCCCACTGGCTTCTCACCCTAGAGGAGCCGAAGTCCCCACTTCGGCCTCTAAGGCCCTCGTGCTCTGAAACCCTTCATCTGCTTTCACCTCTCACTATCTGTTCCCGCCACACTGGCGCCCTGGCTCTTCTTAGGCTTTGGTTTTGTTCTGCTTCTGTTTGGTGTGGGGGATGGAACCGAGGGTGTTCAGCTATTGAGTCACACCCCAGGCCTTTTTATTTTGTACTGTGAGACAGGCTCTTGCTAAATTGCCTCAAACTTGTAATCCTCCTGCCTCAGCCTCCGGAGTAGCTAGGATCCCAGGCACACACCACTGTGCCCAGCGTCCTGGCTCTTGCTGAATCTTCCAGATAGGCTCCAATTTGCATCTTCTGTGTCCCAGCATAGCACTGTGGTGGAAACATTAAGTGGTGAGGGCTGGTGGGAGGCCGCAGGTCACTAGAATCTGTCTTTGGGGAGACAGTGACTTCCACCCCTTCCTCTTTCTTTGGTTTCCAGGCCATGCACTCCCCCATGATGCCCACCATAGCCCCAAAGCAACAGGACATGGATGATCATCGCGGACTGAAATCGCCAGAACTCTGAGCCAAAATAAACCTATTGTGGTTTTTGTTTTGTTCTGTTTTTTGAGAGAGGGTATAGTTCAGACTGGTCTTGAACTCATGGTGATCCTCCTGCCTCAGCCTCCCAAGTACTGGCATACCTGGCTGTGTTTATAAATTGGTTGTCTCAGGTATTTTTTAGTGATAGATAACTAATTCAAATTCAGTTCAAATTCAGTTGCTATCCCCTCTGCCTAGAGTGCTGTCCCCGGGATCTGCATGGCTCACTTCCTAACTTCAAGAGCTCTGCTCAAAAGTAACCCTTCCTGCTCTTCCTACTGAATGATGCTTTCATTTTCTTCACCAAACTGTCTTCTGCATTATCTAACTTATTCGTAATGTTTGTTACATTTCTCTCCCCTAATAAAATATTCAGCTCTAAGAAGGCAGAGATCTTGATTTAACCCAGTGCTATATTCTCAATACTTAGAGCAAGGCAAAACGGAATCAAAAACCCACCGGAAGAATCCGGCCCACAGCTTGGTTTGGATAGTCTATAAGCTAAGGGTAGTTTTCATATTTTTAAAAGATTATAAAATCAAACAAGAATATTCAATAAGTGGCCAGAAGAGCCTAAAATCTTTGCTGGTCTTTTGTAGAAATAGTTTGTTGATTCTTGAGCTAGAACAATGCCCTCCACAAAGCCAGATGGCCGAGGGGTGCTCATGACCCGCGTACCCACGGCCGCCTCTTCGTGCCCCTCAGCTGACACCTTCTGGCCTCTTCCTGCCCCACAGGGACCTCTTTCTCTAAGTGAGAAACGAGCTGCACAGCGGTGGGATTCCAGCACCCATGCTGGCGCCACAGGGCCCTGCGGCACAAGGCGGGTCCAGGCCTTGTAGCCTGGGCCTTGCACTTTTCTCTCCTAGAAGCAGGAGTGAAGGTTGCTCATCTGAACGGAGTAATGAGCAGACCCTGGAGGGGCCTGGCCTGGCCGCACCCTGCAGCTGTGCATAGAAAGAAGGAAATGGACACAGCAAACCCGGTGATCCCAACAGGAAGGAGCTGGAGATCTGAGGAGGGCACTAGGTTCTGTTTGCCACATGCAGATTCAATATGCTTGGCAAAGAAAGGAAAATGAGAAAGATAAGCGAAGCAGGGTAGGAAGCTCTTCCCGCTAAGCCATTCAGCTCAAGTGTACACCCAGGGCAACATGCGGTAAGACAGGAGCTACAACTTTTCTTATTCCCCTAAGCAGCCTGGTTCTCACGGCCACCCTAACATTTAAATGTAGGTATTTTAAAAATATACAATGTAGGGCCTGGGGATTTAGCTCAGTGGTTCCGCCGCCTGCCGCGAAAAGTCCCGAGTTTGATCCTTGGTACCAAAAACAAAACAAACAAACAAACAAAAATATATATATACATACACATACACACACAACGTGGTATAGGATAGCCCGCCCTGCTTTCTCCAGGGTGTCCTTTTATCCTGCTTTTGCCTCTTTTACTCCCCAACCTCACTCTGCAGAGGCAGTTTCTCCCCCACTCTTCACTTTCACTTTTTCAAATGAACTTTGCTACTGCTAAACACACACACACACCACCACCCTTCAGTGCAATCTGACTACTTTCATCTAGGCCCCAATTGAACACAGCAGTTCAAGATATGATCGTTTCTAATGTGGGACTTGAGTAGATTTATTTTTTTATTTTTTTATTTTTTGGTACCAGGGATCGAACTTGGGTCCTTGCCCTTGCTCAGCAGGTGGCGAAACCACTGAGCTAAATCCCCGGCCCTGAGTAGATTTAATTTTATGTATAATTCCAAGAAATTCTTCAAGGACAGTTTTGAGTGTTTGAGATTTTTCTTTGTATGCTGAATTCCAAAGCTGATCCCATCTAAGATTTGACCCTGTGGCTGTGGCTCACAGTATTTTCCAAGTCCTGGTTCTCATCCCTCATGAGGCTTAGAAATACATCCTGTCCGGCCAGGGCTTTAGCTCAGTGGTTCTGCTGCCAGCCTTGGAAGCACAAGGACCCGAGTTTGATCCCCGGTACCAAAAAAACAAATACATCCTGTCTCAAAGGCTCAGAGCTGCATCCTCTCAAGAATTTACCACTGAGGGTCAGGGATTTAGCTCAGTGGTTCCGGAACCTGCCTGGAAAGCACAAGGACCTGAGTTCAATCTCCGGTACCAAAAAAAAAGAAAAAAAGAATTTACCACTGAGCTGGGTGCACACTTGTAATCCAAGCACTCGGGAGGCTGAGGCAGGAGGATCGCTGTGAGTTCCAGGCCAGCCAGGGCTACCTACTGAGTTCAAGACCAGCCTGAAGTACATAGTGAGACCCTGTCTCAAAACAAACAAGCAAACAAATTTCCCTCCAGATTTAGGTAGGATAGACTAGATTTCTATTATTTACAACCAAAGGAAAGGGATTAAAATCACTCTACTTTAACTCATTTGATAAACTGCCCCTCGCTGTGAGACTGAGCTCCTCATTGTGTGATGAGGAAGCAGCTCCACAACACAGGTGAATGGACATGCCCGCACCCGGAGGACTCACGCGACATAGTTGATGGCACCGAAGGTGTTGGTCAGCAAGCACATGTGGTTTACTTTGGCCAGCAGAACATCAGGGTCCTTCAGTTTAACGTAATCCAAGAAGTTAAATTCTGTTTCGTAAGTTGAGGAAAACTGAACGGCAGCAAACTAGAATGAGAAGGAAGAACACAGTTGCGCATCCCTTCCCACTTGGCTTCTCCATCTCCACCTCTTAGGCAGGGCCTAGAACCCTACTCACACCCTGGTTTAGATTATTCATTTTGAAAATGAAGCAACATACAGATAAATGTAGAAATGAACAGCTCTGCTTCCATGTGCAGAGCTGTGTGCAGAGGCCCTGGCCCCGGCTGCCTTCCCCGCAGGCGGTACCGAGCGCCTTCTTTCTGTGGATGACTGCTGGCTGGGCCGGGATGGTTGCCTGATCCAGGCTAGGCCAGTCAGAGTCTCTTTTCTGAGTCTTTTGGATTTGCAGAGGAGGGGCTGGTTGAGAGGAAGGTTTAAAAAAATACAAAACCCTTCTGGAACTTTAACACAAGACTTAGGGGCATCCCACACCTCCTGTGAGCCAAAGAGGCTAAGGGAACTGGTCTACAGAGAGAGCAAGAAAGAAAGCAAAAGTGCAAAAAGAAATAGAAAATAGAATGGGAGAACACGAGAGGCACTACTCCCTGGTTCTCGTCCCTTCCACAAGCCCAGCTACAGCCACACCCACGGGTTCTACAGATACACAGTGCACGAGCTCCACTATCTGCAGCCAAACGCCACGCACGGTCACCTGGTAGGAGGAGTTGCTGAGTTTTTTCATCACATCCTTCATGAAGTCCACGATCTTCTGAAACTCGTCTTGCTGCAAGCTCATGGAGCCGTCAAACAGAAACACCAGGTCGACGTTGCCCTTTATGCACTCTGCGGAGGGGATGCACAGGCTGGGCAGGGCTCCAGGCTGGCCTCCTGGTGCTGGCCCCAGGAGGGCTCCTCCACGTATCCCACCCACCGGGACTCCAGCTCTGTACCCTGATACCCGGGGCGCCCTTGGACCACGGGGCCCCCCAGATTCTCGGGGAAGAGGTAACACAGGCCACTCAGATAGGTATTCTGGTCACACGTCCAAGACAGCCCAGGGTCACAGGCCTGAATGAAGAAAAGGAAAAAAAGGCTGGGCTTCTTCTTGCTGTCTTTTATTTTTAAATCTTTATTTATGTATGTATTTATTTTGGTAGTACCAGGGCTCAAACCCAGGGATGCTCTACCACTGTGCTATGTCTCCAGCTATTGTATCTTTTTCCAGGACCAGGGATTAAACCCAGGGCTTTTGCACTGAGCTATTATCTTCAGCCCTTTTTATTTATTTATTTATTTAGGTACTAGGGATCAAACTCGGGTCTTTGCGCTTGCACAGCAGGCTGCGAAACCACTGAGCTAAATCCCAGGCCCTAGCCCTTTTTGTTTTGAGACAGGGTCTTACTGAGTTGGTAAACTGCCCAGGCTGTGCTCAAACTTGCAGTCCTCCTGTCTCAGGCTCTCAAAGTGCTGGGATTACAGCTGTGTACCACCATACCTGGCTCCTTTTTATTTTTTTGAGGCAGGGTCTTACTCCTGAGATAAGGTACTCCTGCCTCAGCTTCCCTAGCAGCTTGGACTGCAAGAGTGTGCCACTATGCTGAGATATTGTGTCTTTAGTTATCTCAAGAAAATGATAAGATTCTTCAGAATCCTGTCCTCCTCTCTCACTCCCTACATCCAAAAGCCTCGAATCAAGGTGAAATGTAGGGTAAGGGGACAGATTGGCAGGGAAATAATAGGATGAAGGCCTCTGTGCGCTTTCTGGAAAATCTTGACTAGAAAGAGTTAAGCCCTTGCTAGTGGGAGCAATTAAGAGGCCAAGCCAGAGAGCTGCCAAGTGGCATGACCCTGCCAGTCCCCCCCGCCTCATGGAGTAAAGTACAAAGGAGACAAAGGGGAGGGTACAGAGCAGAAAAAACTCCCATGGTATATAAGACATACTCACACCCGCATAGAGCTGTGTATCTTTCTTTTAATTCTCTCACTATGTTTCCCTTATGAAAAGTCCTTTCAACAAACCCATACATTTCAGAGATAGGACCTGACAGGACAAAGAAAACCAAATCAAGCTCACCTGGGAGTTTGCACGCAGGTGATGGCAGGTCCTAGGGCCTAAAATAGCCAATCAGGCTGTGACACGCTCCCTGGGCTAACAAAAAGGGCTGAAGGCAAGGGCTTGGGGTCCCACATCTTTCCGGAGCCCCCACCCTGATTAACAGGGTAGCAATCTCCTTTTTATCCTTTCCCAAGAAAGTGTTGCATAAAATGTCTTCCTTTCCTTCAACTGAATGCTTACCGATGAGGAGCTTACAAATCCCGGTGAGTGGCTGTGACCCTTCTACCTCCAGAAGGTTGCTCCTCCCATCTCTCCAATGCCCCCTGGCAAGGGCCGCTCCCCGCCTGTGCTTGAAACTGAACCTCACACTACCGACAGCTGGGCAGCGCCCACGTTTCCAGGACACTCTCCTATTCCCAGTCACACATTCTGTACAAGCCAAACAACAACTCTATTCCCAGAACACGCAGTGCTGTTTCTCTCGCTTGGGACCATGCTTCCCACCAGGCTAATCTGAAGTGTAGTTTAGGTCACCGTCTCCTTCACTCCTTTCCCACTGGAACCCGGCACAATGTCTGACATGTAATAGTAGCTAAGTAAATGAGCTACGATTAAACACTGTTGATCAGTATGTTACTCAGCTAATCTATCTTTTACATAAGGGTGTCAGAAGGCTTCCAGCTGGGAATACCAGGAAAGAGCAATGGAGTAGAAATCAATTGAGAATTTGACCGAAATCCTGACTTTACCATTTTGTAACTATGTGATCTGGGCCAAAACTCTTAATCCTTCTGGTCGTGTTTCCTCTGGTGATAAATGTATATACTGAATGTCTCAACAAGGGTTTAAAAAAAATATATGGCAATATTTCCCAAACTTTGAGGGTTTTTAAAATTTTTAAAATTTTTATTTTTTTGTTTGAGACAGGGTCTTGCTCTGTAGCCCAGGCTGGCATTGTACTCATGATGATCCTCCTGCCTCAGCCTCTTAACTACAACTACTGGGATTACAGGCATGTAGCACCACACCCAACAGGGTATTTATAAAATACTTCACAATTTCTGCCATATGGGGATACTATTAATTTAATATTTTCCTTTAATTTTATTTTGCAAACTTTAGCTTCTTAAGCAATATTTTTCTAGGGCCGGGGGTTTGGCTGAGTGGTTTCGCTGCCTGCGGCACAAGCGGAAGGACCCGAGTTCGATTCCCGGTACCAAAAAAAAAAAGAAAGCAATATTTTTCTAAGAAGCCATTGAATTAAAAATATTAAAAGAAGTCCTGAGTTCGATCCCTGGTACCAAAAAAAAAAAATTAAAAGAAGGGGCCAGATGTGGTGTTGAGGACCTGGGAGGCTGACACAAGAGGCTCTGCACAAGTCCGAGGCCAGTCTGGACTACACAGTGAGTTCAGGGACGGCTTGGACCGCACATGGTTAGGACTCTTGGCTCAAAAACAAAACAAAGCAAAGCGAGGGCTGGAGACATAGCACAGTGAGAAGGCCCTGGATTCAATCCCCAGTTCTAGAAAAAACATTAAAAGAAAACACACCACCAAAATGACACAGTCATAGATATTTAATATAAAAAATGAGGTTAGCTGGGGATTTAGCTCAGTGGTTTCGTCGCCTGCTTCGTAAGCGCAAGGACCCGAGTTCAATCCCTGGTACCAAAAAAAAACAAAAACCAAAAAACAATGAGGTTAGGAGGGTCTTGAAAATGCCAGTTGAGACCGGGCTTGGTGGTGTGCACCTGTAATCCCAGCACCCACCAAGAGGACCCTGGAAGTTCAAGGCCAGCCTGGCCTACATACTGAGCCCAGGCCAGCAAGATCCTGTCTCCAAAAGCAAAAAATAAATTAATTAAAATAGCTGGTTCATAGCTGGCTAGTCGGTTCTTTTTTTTTTTTTTGTAGCACTGGAGATTTGAACTCTCAGCCTTTGCACTGCACTGAGCTACATCCCCAACCCTTTATTTTTTATTTTCACACTTTTTTTTTTGTACCAGGGATCAAACTCGGGACCTTTTGCTTTTGAGGCAGGTGGCAGAGCCACTGAGCTAAATCCCTGGCCTTATTTTTTATTTTTGAGACACAGTCTCCGTTGCTAAATTGCCTGGGCCAGGGTTGAAGTTGCTATTCTCCTGACTCAGCCTACCAGAGTGCTGGGATCACAGGGCAGACCTGACTTCATAGTTTGTTTTGTTTTGTTTTTTGAGACAAGGTTTCATTATGTAGTCCAGGCTGGCCTTGAACTCACATGGTACTCCTGCCTCAGCCTCCCCAGTGCTGGGATTACAGGTCTGCACCAGCACACCCAGCTCATAGTCGGTTCTGTTTGTTTTTCAGTACCGGGGTTCGAACTTGGCCTTGTGCTTGCAAGGCAGGCGCGGTGCCACTGAGCTAAATCCCTGGCTTAGAGTTGGTTCTTCATAAACACTGACAAACTAATCCCTCTGATGCCCTTCACCTTCTATGGGATCTTTTATCCATTTTATTTTTCTCTCTTTTCAGTCTCTTTCCCAGCACTGAGCCTCACAGGCTCTGATAAAACCATACACAAGGGCCAGGGATTTAGCTCACTGGTGCTGACAGCTGTCTCACAACTGCAAGGTCGTGAGTTCGATCCCCGGTACCAATACACAAAACTCTTACCAAAACCCTTCCGTCCGCGGGGTCTGTTACCAAGGTTATCCCCAAGTACTTGGAGGTATAGTTGGAACCTGCAGGCACCAGAAGATTGGTCAGCCCTGTTGCTAGGGGAGCCCACCCCAGGCGCCTCCGCCACTCACCAGTCAGGCGGACGGGCTGGCAGTGTCCAGTGCCGGGCTCGCACCAGTACAGGCTTCCTGCGCTGCTGCCCTCGCCCGGAGCGCCCACCACAACCCTGGGGAGAAGGCTGCCCTGAGCTGCGCCCCCCGCCCCCCGCGCCGCCTGTGGAGGGCTGCAGACCCCGCATCCAAAGCACGGTCCCGGTTCCTGTCCCGCGGGGGAGGCTCCTCGGCTGCCCTGTTTCTGCCTGGCGCCGGAAGCACTCTCTACAGCCCTCCTTCCAGAGCGGCGCTCCCGTGCCTTCCCGGTTAGCGGGCCTGCGCCGGCAGACTCCAGGTCGGAGCTCGGCTCGGGGCTGTGGCGTTCCCGGGGGACTCGGGGGCAGGGGCCGTGAGGGGCGGATGGCGGGCGGGACGCAGTGGGCGGTGGGCGCTCACCCGCCCGAGGCCTGCAGCACGCGGTACCCGAAGTGTCTCCCGGCGGGCGGGAAGGAGAAGCTCTGCGCACCCCTCACTTCCAGGTTGTAGCTGGAGGCCGGCTCTGAGGAAGAAGGCACGGCGGTCAGCGGCCCTCCCTGCCCAGGACCCGCACCCGCCGCCCGCCTGACTGGCCCGGCCGCTCTTCCGGAGCCAGGGCGCCACTTCCCTTTCGGGCTCTGCGCGGAGAAGGAAAGGTCAGAGGCGAGGCCGTGAGCGCGGAGCAGGCAGGAGGGCCCAGGGTGCTGGCGGCCGGGTCTCAGGCGGGAACCGACAGGAGGCTGCAGCCCGCACACCCACATCTCCTCTGGTCAGGGCCCAGCCGCGCAGAGCCCGCAGGCAGCCTCGGGGATGCCGGACCCCTGGCTCCTGCGGCCACCCGCGCCGTTCCCACCCGGCCCTCTCCCTGAACCGAACCCTTAGGGCGCAGAGCCCGGACCCTACTTCTCACCGCAGCCTGGCCGACATCTGAACCCTCCAAACTGTCCTCCTGCCCTCCTGTCATTCAGGCCCCGGATGTGGGTCATGGTACCCTGGGATATCAGGGAACATACTGCCATTTGTTCAGATGAAGGGAGTGAGGCAGGGAAAGGGGAAAGGATTGGCCTAAGACAAGTCCTTTATTTATTTTTTAAATTTTGAGACAGGGTCTGGCTAAATTGCCCAAACTGGGCTCAAGCTTGTGATCCTCCTGCCTCAGCCTCCCAGAGTCCTTGGACTGGGCCAGGGATTTAGCTCAGTGGTTCCACCACCTGCCTCGAAACCACAAGGAGCCGAGTTCGATCCCCGTACCAAAAAAAAAAAAAAAAAAACACAATGTGCAGAGTACTTGGATTGCAGATGCACACCATCACACCTGGCCTATTTGCCCTAAAATTTTAAGAACCCACTCCCCCTGCCTCACTGCACCCTTCTCTCCCTTCTCTGACTTTCCTCCACACTTTGCCCCAAAGATGGGCCCCGGCTCTGTTTCTCCAATGAGGATTTCTGGGTCCCACATCACCTATGGCCAGTCCCACCTTTACTCCAGCTTCATACACCCTGCAATTTCTCTGGTCACAGACACATGTCCTTTTCCTTCCCCTCCCCGTTGCTTACCAAAAAGAAAGGTTGCAGACAGCAGAAGAAGCAGCACTGAGGTGATGCGGGAATTCTCCATCTCACCACACGGGAGGGACCTGCGGACAAGCCTGGTCCTCAAGGGCCCTTTGGGTTTGCTGCCAACCTAGACCTGGCAGAAGAGGGAAATGATAGTGCCAGGGCCTCTTGCAGTGGAACTTTCTCACAGAGCCGCCCGGCTGATGACACTGAGCAGGAGGAGTGTGCTGGAGGGGTTGTGAAACCGCAGTGTTCATAGAGGAAGTGTAGGCAGGTTAGAGACACTTCCTGTGCCCACTTGCATTTTCACATCATCCCAGAGCAGATGGCTGATGACTGCTTCTGCTCAGGAGCGGCTCCACCCTGGTCCCTCACCAGCTCCCCACCAAAGGAGGACACTCCGAAGCCCAGTGTGGTCTGGTCAGGAAACCTGTGTGCAGCCACCATGGGAGGAGGGTAGCTATGAAGAATGGGGGTGGAAAAAAATAAGATTCGGGGGGAAAAAGAGGTAGCTTTTCCTCGTCACTGAAAGATGCCCATGAGACACTGTCAAAGAACAAGTGAGTTATAGAATGGTAACTAAAAAGCTAAAATCCACAGAGTGGAAGAACATACCTGTAAATCATATATTTGATAAGTCACTTGTATCCAGAATACATAAAGAACTTGAATAACTTGATAAAAAGACAACTTATGTTTATTTTTAGTCCTCCTCCCCCTCCTGGTCCTGGTCATCTAACTGATGGCCTCATACAGGCTAGATAAATGGTGTACAACTGAGCTACACCCCCTGCCTTTATTCTTTAACCTATTTTTTTTTAAATGAGCAAAGGATTTGAACAGACACTTCTTTAAAGAAGATATGTAAATGACCAAGAAGCACCATCATTACTCATGAAAGAAATGCAAATCAAAGCCACAATGAGATACTACTTCACACCTGCCAAAAAGGAAAGAAATTAAGGGTCAGTGAGGATGAAGAGAAGAAAACTAGAGCCCTGGTACATTGCTAGTAAATGTGTGAAATAGTGCAGATGTTATGGAAAAGTTTGTCAGTTTTTCAAAAAAGCTCAGCACAAGGGTACCACATGAGCCAGTCATTCCTCTCCTAGGTATATACCCCAAAGAGTTCAATATATATGTTCATATATAAACTTGTACACAAATGCTCATAGCTGCCTCATCTGTACCAGACAAAACTGGAAATAGCCCACAGGTGCAGCAGCAAATTAATGCATAACAAAAAGTGATATATCTGTAAAATGTAATATTCACTCATAACATAGAGTGGAATCCTGGTATGTGCGCCAATGTGGATAAACCTTGAAAATGGGCTAAGTGAAAGAAACCAGGCATAAGGTTCCATACTGCATTAATTTCATTTAAATAAAATATCCAGAATAGATACTTCCTGTCACAGAAAGTAGGTTAGTGGTTGCCATGGATTGCGGGGGAGATGGTTGCTAATGGGTATAGGATTACTTTTTTTAGGGGTGGGAGTTGAGGCAGGGTCTTGCTATGTAGTTCAGGCTAATTTTGAACTTGTGGCAATCCTGCTTCAGCCTCCCAAGTGCTGAGGCATGCGCCACAATGCCCAGCTAGGATTTCTTTTTGAAGTGATAAAATGTTCTGGAATTAGATAGTGGTGATAATTATACAATTTCACAAATATATTAAAAGCTACTCAACTGTATACTTTGAAATGGAGTTATATTGTTGTAGGAAATCTGGACTGGGACAGACAAACCCACACAAAAGAGACAGAGGAAAGATATCTGATCGGCTGGCCCAGTGGAGCTAGGTGCTCCGTAAAGACCTGGGCCCTGAAATTTTAAAATGGGGGAGTTTTATATAATAGTTTAAGTTGGGGTGGCCTTGGGATGGGTGATAACGTAACTGTCTTGAGGTTGGGGCTTTCTTTAGGAACGGGATAGTCACACAGCAGAACACAACAGGATGCATGTTGTGAACGTTGAAGCTAACAGGATAAATTTTCCAGGCTAACAGAGGACATCACAGAATACATATTGTGAATACTAAAGCTAACAGGATATACATATATATTTTGTGATGGCTTACGTTGTGATTATAGGTGTCACTCATTGGGAGGGGTTGTGGACCTGCCTGTTTGGGTAAATAGGAACAAAATAAGGGTGTGTGAGAATTTTTTTTTTTTGGTACCGGGGATCGAACTCAGGACCTTGTGCGGCAGGCACCAGAACCACTGAGCTAAATCCCTGGCCCTCTGTGAGAATTCATAAGGCTTGAAGCCTTAAAGGTTTATAACTTAGGCATTATTATGACACGTGAATTGTAGCTGGGCATAGTGAGTGGCACACGCCTGTCATCCAGCACTCCGGGAGGCTGAGTATGGAGGATCGAAAGTTGGAGCTCAGCCTGGACAGTTTAGCAAACTGTCTCAAAATTTTAAAGAAAGGCTGGGGCTGGGTGTATTGGCACATGCCTGTGAGCCCAGCACTGAGGAGGCTGAGGCAGGAGAATCACCAAGAGTTCAAGGCCAGCCTGGGCTCCATAGTGAGTTCAAGTCCAGCCTAAAGTGCATAGCAAGACCATGTCTCAAAAAAAGAAGAAAGAAACCTGGGGGAGGTGGAGGTAGCCATGCTCCCACAGCTCATGCCCTCTGCGCACCCATGAAGATGCCACTGTGTGAATGGCACCAAGGCCAAGCACCTGTGAGCCTGGAGTTGCAGAACGAGCTCCCCCTGGGCCCAGTCGAGTCACGGGAGGGCCAGTAATGAGTGCTGCTCAGATGCTCGCAGTAGAACCTTGGGGTGGCCCTGGGACTGGTTCCTGTGGGCCTATAGGTGCTGGGCCCGCCTTGAGATGGTTCTGGCTCCACGCCCTGGCACTCGGGGTGACTGGAGTGACACCTCAGAGACCTCCTCGGGCCCCTGGGCCTTTCATGTCCTGATGAATGGCACCTGGCTTCCTGCTACACACACTGACCTGCTTCACAAACATCTTTTGGTGTTTCTGGAATATGCATTTTCATTTTTAATATGGCCAGGCTGAAAATTTTCTTAATCTTTTAAGTTCTGCTTTGCGGGGGCGGCAGTGGAGATTGAATCCAGCTTTGTTTGTACTGGGGATTGAACCCAAGGTCTCCAAATCCCTTTTGAGACAAGTGTCTCACTAAGTCGCCCAGGCAGGGCGTGAACTCACAATGCTCCTGCCTCAGCCTCCTGAGTTCTGGGTTACAGGTGTGGGCCGAGTTGCCAGCCAGCTTTAGCTGCTAGAGCAGCAACCCACATCTTAGTACCAATTTCTGCCTTAGTCTGTTCTGGCTGCTACAATTAGGTATCCTAGCCTGGGCAGTTTACATGTAGCAGAAACTTATTTCTAACGGTTTTGGAGGCTGGGAAGTCCAAGATCAAACAAAGCTCCACATGACGTGGTGTGTGGAAAGGGCTCGCCGCTGCTTTCAGGCCAGCTTCGGCTCACTGCACCCTCACAAGGTGGACAAGCGCAGGGACGCACTCCACGCCCCAAACCTTTCCGAGGGCACTGACCTCAGCCACCAGCCAGAGCCCCACGGCCCACTCACCTTCCAGAAGCCTCACCTCTTTCTCCGCTGACTTTTTATCTTCCTGTGGTGCTGGGACTCGAACTTGGGGCCTCGTGCATGCTAAGCACTCGCTCCACCACTGAGCTGCACCCTCAGCCCAGGCCTCACCTCTTACTACCTCGTGTGGGATTTAAATTCCAACATTACAGTTGGGAGGGTGCACACATTTGAAGTGTAGTGAATATTCTTTTTTCCTGTTTGAGAAATATAAGGCTGAGGAAGGTACAAGGTTGAAGCCCCAAGGATTGTGAAAAGTCAGGGGTTCCTGTGAGAGAGGGATTTCCCCTAAAAAGCTAAGCTGCAAGATCTGGGACTGGGAACGCCTTGAGTGGCACTCCACCCACCCCGGAGTTCTTCCTTGTCTCTAGTCCCTGCCGCGATTTGTCTTCTTAACTCTGACGGTCACTTCTCAGTCCTCTGATCTTCTTCTCAATTCTGTCCTTTTGGTTTGAACTTCTAACAGTTCTCATCCAAACTGTTGCTACTGTGGCTTTCTTAGCTCAGTCTCCTCCTTCACAGCTCCTGCCAAATTAACCTTGAGAAACCGGAGCATGTCTCTCTCATGCTCCTTTTGCACGCACAAGATCAAGTCCAGGCCCCTCAGTGTGGCCTTCAGGGCTCGTTCCAGCTCCTCCACAGTCCTTATGTGATCCATGCCCGACAGGACAGTGGCCTGGCCCCACAGCTGGACACGCGGACACCTCCTTCTGTGGGAATTGGCCCCATAGGTGTTTTCTATGTGACATCATCATGGCTGTAGCAAATTGCTGTACAGAATCTTCCCAGTTCTGAGTTTATCCCCGGTATCATAAAAAAAAAGAGGGGG